GAGCTCACCATATAGACCAGGCTGGCCTGGAGCTCACCATATAGACCAGGCTGGCCCAGAGCTCACCATATAGACCAGGCTGGCCTGGAGCTCACCATATAGACCGGGCTGGCCTCGAGCTCACCGTATAGACCAGGCTGGCTTGAAGCTCACTGTATAGACCAGGCTGGCCTCAAACTTACAAAAATGCACCTGGCCTCTGTCTCTTGGGTGCTGGAATTAAAAGCATGTACTGGGGGCTGGAGAGATGGCTCAGTGGTTAAGAGCACTGACTGCACTTCCAGAGGTTCTGAGTTCAAATCCCAGCAACCACATGGTGGCTCACAACCATCTGTAATGAGATCTGATGCCCTCTTCTGGTGTGTCTGAACACAGCTACAGTGTACTCATATATAAAAAATAAATAAATCTTTAAAAAAAAAAAAAGCATGTACTACCACTCCCAGTTATTCATCATTCTTTAGTTTATAGGTATGTGTATATGTTTGAGTGCATATGTATCATATGCCATGGAGGTCAAAAGAATGAGCTGGAGTCCCTGGACCTAGACTTAGGGATGGATGTAAGCCACCGTATAGGTGCTGGGAACGGAATCTGAGCCCTCTACATGAGAAGCCAGTACTCTTAACCACCAAGCCATTTCTTCAGCCCCATAAAGACTATTTTTGAAAAATCAAAATTATATACACACAGTTTAGATTTGGTCTAAAGTCACTGAATTTATTTTATTTCTTTGAGGTGGGGTCTCACTCTTGTAGCACAGGCTGTCCTGGAACTCTCCGTGTGCCCATTGACCTCTCTATGGTTCTCCTTCAGCTGACTGAGTGCTGGGATTATAGGCATACACCACACATCTGACTGAGAATGGCTTTAAGACGGGTTTCATCATTGGGTAATCCTACTCAGGAAGGAAGATCATCTTGTTTATCATGTTTCCTTACTCCTGACAAGCTTCTTCTGTCAGTTTGAGGAGTGCGTGTAAAACTTTGGCTAATTGTTTTTATTCTTGTGGGGTGTCTTATAGACTGATTTTTTTAGCTAAGTGACTGTAAGTTGAGCATACTTAATTGAAACATCTGAAAAGTTCCATATTTTGAAGCATGTTAGATTTTGTATGTCTGCACACTGGTAAGGTCTGGAAAATATTCCACTATTAGAGAAACTCTGAAATCTGAAGCATTTCTGGTCCCAGTCATTTCAGATTGCGAGTACGCAATGGTATGATTTGTAAAGAATTAGAATAATAGAAGATTTGTTTCAAAATAGTTCCTCAGTTTATGTCTAATATTGGACATTTCAACAAATGATACGGTTGTATTATTGGTATTTGGGCATTATTAATACTGTAGTGTTTTGTTTGTGTGTTTCTATGTATTTTTTTAATATTCTAGGTTTATATGCTCAGTATATTTCTCTGTAAAATGTTCATTTAACAGAATGAAGTTAAAGGAGGTAGATCGTACAGCTATGCAGGCATGGAGCCCTGCCCAGAACCACCCCATTTACTTAGCCACAGGTAAGCTCAGCAGAGAAGGCCGTGTGAGTATCCTCATTCTGTGACTGTCATCTTCATACTTGAATTTAAACTTTAGTTCCAGCTTCATCTTCTAAAAGGTTTGTTACTCCCCATCAAGCTCTCTCCCTCTCCCTTTTACTTAGTTTGATGCCCGTCCCCTGTGCTGCTCAGATTTGGTCATTGTTCCCCAGCATCTTTCCCGTATGCAGGAGGCATGTTTGTCTTTAGCCCACAGGTTGTTGGAACAGCAGATGACAAGGTTTCAGTGAATGATGAGCAAACTTGACAGAAGCATTTTTTTAATAGAGAGCTGCTTTTTTAAAAATTAATTTATTTACCTTACATCCCGCCTGCAGTTTGCCCTCCCCCCTCCACCCAGTCCTTCCCTAAACCCTCAGTCTACTGCAGTTTCAAGAAAGCTGCTTTGTATAGGACTTAAAGCAGATGCAGTACATCATGAGACTGTTACTCCAGATAGCTTCTAAAATATCTACAGTCTTCACACAGTTGTCTGTAACTCTTAGCCCTGTGCAAATCTTAATGTTGCAGTCATTTAACCATGCTCAGGGTTGTGTGTGCTGAGGTCTTGTCATGGATGAATTCATGACATCAGGACAGCATGCTTTTAGTTTCTCTTTGGTGCCACTCTTGAGTCTTTACTTTGCCTTTGTAGTTACCAGTCATATGTTTTCTGTAGGAACATCTGCTCAGCAGTTGGATGCAACCTTTAGTACCAATGCTTCCCTGGAGATATTTGAGCTGGACCTTTCGGACCCATCCTTGGATATGAAGTCCTGTGCTACTTTCTCCTCTTCTCACAGGTATGAGATTCAGCCTTAGGTTTGCATTATTATATAACTATTTGTTTTTATTTTATTTTATTCTGAGGCATGGTCTCCTGTAGCCCAGCCTGGCCTGGGACTCACTAATAGTCAGGAATAGCCTTGGACTAATGCTCTTCCTGCCTCTGTCATGAGTGCTGGGATTATGGACAAGTGCCACCACTCCTAGTTTGTGCAGTGCCTGTGACTGAACCCAGGACTTTGTGCATGCTAGGCAAGCACTCTACCAAGTGGGCTGCACCCCAGCCCTGTTGTTTGCTTTTGTCTGTAATTATGATCATTTGAAACTTTATAATGCCAGTGACATAAAAAAATTGTGCAATTGCATTTTTGTACAAGTAAAATATGTTCTTAAAATTAATTATGAATAAAGAAAAGAATACACACACATTTTTTTTTTTCCTCTAAAGCCAGGATTTCTATGTATTCCTGGCTGTCCTAGACCCAGCTTTATAGACTAGGATAGTCTGAACTCACAAAGATCCATTTTCCTCTGTCTTGTGAATGCTGGAATTAAAGGTGCACCACCATGCCTGACTATCATGCCTGACTGTTTATTTATCTTGTGGAAGTTTCTGTGGAGGGGGGCATGTGCACCAGAGCAGACAGCTTGTAGGAGCTGCTTCTCAACTTCTGTTTTGGACCTGGGATCAAACCAAAGCTGTCAGGATTGGCAGCAAGTGCCTTTGCTTTCTGAGCCGTCTCGCTAGCCCACTTACACTGTATTATGATGCAGAGAAAGGACACTTCATTTAAGAATGAAAGAAACTTGGTATGTTTTTAGTAGGTTTTAAAGAAACAGCGTACACTAGCTGAGAGATGAGTCTTGGGGATCTGAGTTCTCCCATGCTTTGGAGAGCTTCTGCCTATTACAAGATCCCAAGATGCACTTGTCTTGAAGGTTTTTCGACCACTGTCATGTACTTCCATGCCTTTTCTAACTTTATCTCCACCAGAGACTGTATCATTATCCTCTATCAGAAGAAAATTTCTAATTAGTTTTGACACCATTTCTCTACTTAGAAAATTTCCAATGACTCCCTTAACACTTCTATTGTTTCAAGGATACAGATTAGTGGACACTCCTATAGCAAATAGAATGGCTTGGTTTCTCAGAAAGCAGTTGATAAGCTCTGTTTTGCAGATATTTGCAAATAATTAAATATTAAGTTGCACAGTTTCTAAATGATAAAGTCATTACTGAGCTGATGTCTTTTGCCATGTAAGTGACTTTCTACAATGTGTTGCTCTGTAGAGTCAAATCAAATATGAATGTATAAGTAAACAGTAAAATTCTATTTTATTGATTATACAGTCAGCAAGAGTCAAAGAGAAACTAATTTGTATTACATAGATATAGACAACAACTATAATTAAATACTTTTGGACACTTGCTTGACTTGAAAATGAATTACATATTTTCTCTTTAAGGTACCACAAGTTGATCTGGGGACCTCATAAGTTGGATTCCAAAGGGGACGTTTCTGGAGTTCTGATTGCAGGTGGAGAAAATGGAAACATTATTCTTTATGATCCTTCTAAAATTATAGCTGGAGACAAGGAAGTTGTGATTGCCCAAAAGGACAAGCATACTGGGCCAGTGAGAGCCCTGGATGTAAACATCTTCCAGGTTTGACTTTGTTTGGCATTCCTTCATAGTTCTTAGAATGTGTCTTCATCATTTGAAATAACTTGATGAATATATTGGGATTCAGTATTGGGAATGAAAGGTGAAGACTCAAACGTATAAAGTTCAGAGTTGCGATTAGGAGCCGGCCATGGGCATGGTCTTTCAGCTGCACAGCTAGTCTAGCCTATTTGGTGAGTTCCATGACAGAGAGAGATCCTCTCTCAAAGGGGGTGGACAGTGTTTCTGAGGGTGACATCTGAAGTTGTCCTCTGACCTCCATATGATCCTGTGTGCAGGTGGATGCACACTCACATTTCACAAGTGAGCTCACACAACCAGGCACACATGAAAAATAAAACCTGCCCCAAGCAGAGCTGAAATTAAGACACTAAAAGTGTCTTTGCCGTCTGTCTAGGTACCTTTAGATATTAGGAGCCCAATAGAAACTTAACGAGCGTGAACAGTAGCAGATGAGGCCAGTTTGGCGATCACTTTAACCCAGTAGGTTTGAGTAGAAACCACCTAGGAATACTGCTCCCTGCAGCAGAACTATATGCCCATGAGCTGAAAGTACGGGAAAACAGAGGGCAGGCAGGCTTTGCTAGCTGTCCTGGGCAGTTCTGGATATTGGCTGTGAGGTCCCCAGAAGACACAGTTACCGTAGGATATGGTTGTCCTGAGAGCCGTAGTTGTGACTGTCTTTGTCTTCTGTAGTCACATTGTCTTCCAGAGATGTAAATCCACCAATACCATACCTGAGTGGCTAATGTGATAACAGTTCAACCATGGAACTGTCCTTCTTTTGTAATGCATTATAAAATGAGTTTTGTTGTCAGAAGACATACTTCATTTGAAAAGTTTCATAATGCTTCTCTAAAAAAGTTAAGTTTGATAAATTATGGATAATTAGGAAGTCACACGTGATTGTTTTGATTAATAAACACGTTGTATGTATTAAAGTCAATGTGTTGGTGTTTAGTTATTCAGAGTTTTCATTTATTTGTTATTTGATCATTGTTTCTTTTATAGACCAATCTGGTGGCCTCCGGTGCTAACGAATCTGAGATCTACATTTGGGATCTAAACAACTTCGCAACTCCAATGACGCCCGGAGCTAAGACACAGGTATCACGTCAATCGATGGTCAGTGTAATCGCAGAGCCAAAAAAACATTCTTTTAAATGAATTTGTGTTAATTTTAAGTTTTTTGAACACAGACATTAATTTCTAGTAGCATAGTAAAGTCTTGATAAGTATGTTTCTCTTGTAAAGTAGATGGAGGGAGATTGTCCTGAGTTTGAAATCAACTGGAATGTAGAATGAGACCTTAAATAAACTGTTGCTGGCTGTGGTGGTGCATGCCTTTAGGTCAGCACTCAGCAGGCAGAGGCAGGCAGACCCTGTTGGCCTGATATACATGGTAAGTTCCAGACTAGTTAGGGCTACATAGTGAAACCCTGTCTCAAAAAGTAAAACAAAATGTAGTGTTTCTTTAACATATCCATGAGTCTTTGAGCAATGAGAAGTCATTCAGCACCTACCAACTGCCATTATGTGGTACTGGGCCTAGAGACGTTTATAAACCAGATAAATGCTTAACAGTTGTCTCACAGTGACATGCTGGTTCTTTGAATACTAGCTCTTCTCAGTGCTCAGATGAATCCACTTTTCCTGTGTGCCTCGTGTAGGCTGAGTAAGAGCTTCTGCTGCTCTGTTTTGAATTTCTCATTGTTTGGATCCCCAGTTGCACTGGCCGTCATACCTGCTCCTACCATTTTGAGATCTTGAAAGGTGGCTTCATGATATAGTCTGATCCTTACAAAGGCATTTTCCCTGTAGTCCAGGTGCTGTTTGTGTCCTGCCTGCTTGTAGGACACATCCAGTAACCATCCAGTCTCACTTGTAAGAAGATCAAATAAAGAAATATGTTGCTTTATAGCAGGAACCCAGTAAATGCCTGTGGATGAGACAGTAGTCAATACAGAGTTTGAAGTCGTGCGTGTCTGTGTTAAACAACATGGATATGTTGTGAGTGTGTGGTGGAAAGGCAATTGCTGCAGTAGACAGGTCCAATTTTTAAGTAGTAGAGTTTTTTTTTAAATAAAGGGTCAGCCAGGCATGTTGGTACATGCCTTAAATCCCAGCAGAGGTGGTGAATCTCTGAGTTCCAAGGCAGCCAGAGCTATATAGTGACACCCTGTCTGTCTCAAATAAGGAAAAGAAAAGAAAGAAATTATAAATGAAGAATTAGAATTTATAATTAAATCTATTTTTTAGTTTTTTGAGGAAGAATCTTACTATGTCATTTTGACTGTCCTATAACTCAGTAATATAGACTAGGCTGGCCTACAACTCAGAGATTAGCCTGCCTCTGCCTTGTAGAGTGCTGGGACTAATCATGTATGCCACCACACTCAGTTTTATAATTAAATTTGAGTATAGGAATGTCCTAGTTACTTTCTATTGCTGTCATTAGACACTGCCCACAAAGAACTGGGGGAAGAAAGGGCTTATATGGCTTACATGTCCAGATGGCAGTCTGTCGCCTGCGGGGAGGGAAGTGCCCTGCTTGCCCTGGGCTGTTTGCTTACTGCAGGCTCCTCTCAGTGACTCCAGTCTCTCAAGGTGACAGAAACTAACCAGCACAGTAATGAAGTGGTTTTTAATGTTTGTTCCTTAATAGCCACCAGAAGATATCAGCTGCATAGCATGGAACAGACAAGTTCAGCATATCTTAGCGTCAGCTAGTCCCAGTGGCCGGGCAACTGTCTGGGATCTCAGGAAAAATGAGCCCATCATCAAAGTCAGCGACCACAGTAACAGGGTGAGTACAGAATTGACTCGTGATGAGTATGACATTTCTGCTGGAAGTACATTGTCGTTTGTTTCAAGAAACCACATTATTGTAAAATTAAAATCCTATCTTTTTATCCATCAGTTAATAGTGGGATGAGTGCCCCTCCCTTAATGAGAATAATTACATACCTAGAACTCATGTTTTCAGAATTCTTTTCCACAGCCTTAAAGGCTGTCCTGAAGGTCCCAGCATTTACCATTTTGCTAAAGACATAGACACCCTTGTCTCTTGGGCATGCTGTTTCTAATTATGGAGTTATTAAGGTTAACGGGGTTAACATATCTCAGTGAAATGTGAAAATATGTACATTATTATACAAATAAGCCTTATGCCCACAGCCATCGACACACTTGTGCAGGCCCATGTCCTGTTGGCCCTGTCCCAGGCCACTCCCACTATGGCCATGCCAGACTCCGAACACAGGGGTCTCCTGAGACCATTGGAATGCCCAGATAATTACATTATGATTCATAACAGTAGCAAAATTACAGTTATGAAGTAGCAATGAAAATAATTTTATAGTCAGAGATCACCACAACATGAGGAACTATATTAAAGGGTGGTGACATTAGGAAGGTTGAGAACCACTGATGGAAAAGGTTCAAAACTAGTCTGAACTGATCTGTTTTCCTGTTCATTTCAGTAATGACATAGTCCTCACGTTTTTTTCTACTTCCTGAAGTAACATGATTGCTGAGATCTGAGCCTGTCTGTTTGCAGATGCATTGCTCTGGGCTGGCGTGGCACCCTGATGTTGCTACTCAGATGGTCCTCGCCTCTGAGGATGATCGGTTACCAGTGATCCAAATGTGGGATCTTCGATTCGCTTCCTCTCCTCTTCGGGTTCTGGAAAATCATGCCAGGTACAATGCTGCTGTTTTAAGGAACTTTGTTTCTTCATATTTTGTTCTAAAACATATTTACTCATTTTTATTTTAAGCAGTAGTCATGATTTTCTCTCCAGAGTGGAGGATAGATCATATCATGTTCACATGGATCCTTTGTTAAAGACTTTACAGAGACAGAGATGTGTGCCTGGAACCCCAGCACTCGGCAGATGAAGGCAAGGAGATCAGGAAATGAGGGCCCCTCAGCTACAAGTCACCAGAATAATCAGTAAAACTGAGGCCGTCAAAACACTGTGAGACAGCTCTTGGTATGGATTGTGCAGTTAGGTCCTTGGTAGTCATCACAGCTAAGAAAATGGGATGCTATATAGGAGCAGTGTAGAAACTGGCTTGATTCTGTTTTCATTTTACTTTAAAAGTAAACATTTTTGAGCCATTAGGTGAGTACAGATCTCAGAGTGTTCCCTGAACACTGCGCTCTACCACAGAACTAGGGACTGGGCCATCATAATCTAGCAAAGCACAGTGCTTGATGTCAGAAACAAGTCAATCTTGGTAGTTAGCTGTTTTCTTATTCTACTAAATGGTAGATTGCTTGATCGTAAGGTCTCTTCCAGCCCTAGAGCTCTATGTTTCTTTAATAATGCATACATATTAGGCTGGAGAGATGACTTGGTAATCAAGAGCTCTTGTTGCTCTACCAGAGAAGCCCAGTTCATTTCCCGGCACCCACATGGCAGCTCACAGCCATCTATAACTCCGTCTAGCTCTATGGGGTCTGATGGCCCTGACTTCCTTAGGCGTCTGTACTCATGTGACCACACGCATACACTTTAAAACATTTTTAAAATGAACCAGCTTTGACCACTTGTTGTTGCTATGTTAGAGATCAAACCCAGGGCCTTATATGTGCTAAGCAAGTGCTTACCACTGAGCTAAACACTAAGAACCTCCAATGGTGTGCTCTTAAAAATGATTAAAACATAATTCTGGTTTATCATATAATCTCCGAGTAACATAGTTATAAATATAGAAAAGGCAGAATACTGTCTTTCTCTACAGAGAGTACAGAAGATTGTGTGTGTGCGTGTTTGTGTGGTCTTATGTGGGGATGTACACATTCGTGGAGGCCAGAAGTCACTGCCTATGCCTTTCTGAGCAGTCCTCAACCTTACGTTTTTGGGGCACCCAATCTGGAGTAACTACTGAATAAATACATACATTTATATGTATGTGTATATGTGTGTATGTGTGTATATATACACATACACACATACACACATACACACATATACACATACATACATACATACATACATACATACATACATACAGCTAATGGCGAACCCTTTGGGTTTGGCTTTCTCTACCTCCCTAACTGGGATTACAAGTGTGCGCTCCCATGCCTGGTGTTATGTGAGTGTGAATGTGGGTGTGGGTGCACACGTTGTTGAGCTCAAGAGTAGCATGTGGGAGTCAGTGTGTCTCAGAGCGGACCCAGAAATATGGAACCCTATGTAGGTTGTAGGGCTTGGCAGTAGGAACCTTTACCTCGCTGAGCCCTCACGATGGCCTGGCTTTGTTAGGATGCATACAGCAAGCACATCACTACTCAGCAGGCTTTCCAGCCCAAGGATTCCACTGTTACACTGTGTACAGCTCGATGAATACTACTTGCTAGTACTTGGAATAATACTGGGAAGTATTGCTCTTCTACTAAAGTTACAAATAGCCCTTACTCTGAGACAGTGATCTATAAAAACATGTTTCTAGAATCTAGAGTTTAATATTTCCTTGAAACAGTTCTAATTTTTTTCTTGTCATTACACTTGGTAAAGAATACCCCCCTGGTGGCAGAAGCTAAGCAGTGGGACTGAAGATAGAGACTGGGGGGAGAACACTTGTCTCCACAGAGATCTGCGTGCCCCTGCCTCCTGAGCTGGGAGTAATGGTGCATGGCAGCACGCCCAGCTCTGCGAGGCATGTTGACACATTATTCATAGTCCATATAGTTGGGCATTTGCTTTCATTCCTTACCATCTGCACTCTGCACAGTGCTAAGTGTCCCGTGTCTGCAGCATACATTACCAGATTAGTTAGCAATATGTGATTCCCTGAGCCTGCACAGGCCTGACTGGAAGTTTGCTTTCCTCAAGACTGAACTTTTTCTCATCTCTTTGTGGTTTTTCTTTGTCTGAGTCAGTTAGTCAGTCAGTCAGTCAGTCAGTCAGTCAGTCTGTCTGTCCGTTCGTCCGTCTCTCCCTCTCCTTCCCTCCCTCCCTCCCTCCCTCCCTCCCTCCCTCCCCCCCCCTCCCCTCCCCCCCCCGCCCCCCCCCTCAGCTAATGATTAGGACTAGGAGAAGAGAAGTACGTCCTGTCACTATACTTTGTTCTCATTTGTTCTCTCTCCTGCCCATTTTTTTTAATAGGGGGATTTTGGCAATTGCTTGGAGCATGGCAGATCCTGAATTGTTATTAAGCTGTGGAAAAGATGCTAAGATTCTCTGCTCTAACCCTAACACGGGAGAGGTAGGAGGAGGAATGCTTCTCACCCTGTCAGCCCTCGTAATATTTTATCTCTACCTGAATAAGAAATTTCCGTATGGATTTTAAGCACATATTATAATTAAAACTATGGAGGAAGGTGAGAAATGTTAATCCATCAGAACTCTGTCAGGAACATTACCCAGGCTCATTTCCTTTAGTCTTTAAAATTAATCCTTCTCTATTGAAACGTAGTTTTTTACAAAACGGATTTATTTTTATTCGTGTGCATTGGTGCTTTTTGTGCGTGTGTGTGTGTGTGTGTGAGGGGGCTTCAGATCCTGTAGAACTGAAGGTATAGACAGTCGAGAGCTACCATGTAGGGGCTGGCATCCAAACCTGGAAGAGCATCCAGTTGTCTTAACCACTGAGCCATCTCTCCAGCCCCAAGCTATAGCCTTATACCTTTGCGTCTTCTCTGTTAAGGTAGACCATTGCAGATACTTTTGTAGTTATTCTGATGGAAAAACTAAGAACAACCGTGACTGGCTGGGGCTGGAAGTATGGCTCAGTTGGTCAAGCTCTTGCCAGTGCCAAGTTCTAGGCTTGGTTTCTAGCACCGTTAAGAAATGTTTTCTGTCTGGCAAGCTGGCTCAGCAGTTAAGTCTGGAAACCTGAGTTTGATTCCTGGGACCCTCATGAAATACAGGATGCAGTGGCTCCATTCATGACCTCAGCACTCCTCCAGTGAGATGGGAAGCTAACCTCTGTTAACTTTGGTCTGAAATGGCAGAAACAAGAGAGAATATACTTCCCCAAGGTGGAGAGAGACAGCTGGCCCCTGAACTTTGTCATCTGTGTGTGTACTGTGGCACATGCACCCCACACTTATCCATCACCCCCCCCCACACACACACACACAAAGAATCAGTGAGTAAGTAAATAGATTTTCCTCTCTTAGGTGTTGAAAATTGAACACAAGGCCTCAAATACTGAACTAAGCTATATTACCAGCCTGTCAGTAGATTTTATCTGTCTTATTAAAATAAAAGCAAGTTCTTTAGTTTCTTGGTTTCCAGTTTAAAGTTTAAAATTATGTTTTTTTTTTTTGTAGGAATACAGAAATCTTAATATTAGGGAGCTGAGAACAAAATTAACCCAACAGTAAATCCTGCCTATGTGATTTGAAGCCAGGAAAAAAATTGTTTGCTTTTTCCCTGTACCTGTTCATGTTTGGCCAGGTTCTTGGAACATACTGTTCTCTTACCATTTTCTTAGTTATAAAATAAACTTTAGAGTATCATAGTATTTGTTGGGAATTTGAAGGAATTGACTTTTTAGTATATGTATGCTATGTCTTTAAAAATTTGATTTTCTAGTTCAGTGAAGTTTCAAGTTACATATGAACCAGTGCACACATCAAAGACTGGAATGGAAGCTTCTTCCCCCTGTGGTTGGGTTGTTGTTGTTAATACCATACAGTACCAAAGTTAAGGCCCATTTGACTTTTCCTAAGGCCTCAGATGTATACTCCTAGGATTCCCAGTTATCCTCACACTCTGGATCAGCAGCAATTCTGATAACTTTTTATTTTTCAATTTCCTCTGTGTATATATGTTCGTGTACATACAAATGCATGTGCACTTATGTGTGTATGACCTGGCTGCCAGGAATTGATAGTATCTCTTTGTCAGTTGCCTCTCTCCTTATTCTTTTGAGACAGGGTCGCTGTCTCTGATTGGCCTCCTGCAGTGCTGGCAGCTGACCCCAGGAATCTTCCTGTCTCTGCCTCCCCAGCTTGGTCACAGGCCAGTGTGGGTGTGGGGGTTTGAACTACAGTCCTCATGCTTACATGCAAGCACTTTACAGATGCACCATCTCCCCAGCCATGTAACAGCATTCTAAAGGTTTTCCATGGCCTTTTCCTTTATAGGAAACTTTGCCAGGATTCTTCAGCAATAGGAGTGGCATATACATGTTTTCTCTTATGGCTAAAAGCTAGATTTGTTAGTTCTTTCTGAGGCTGTGGTTTACAGTTTGGTTATCTATCTATCTATCTATCTATCTATCTATCTATCTATCTATCTATCTATCTATCTAATGTATGAGTGCTCTGCTGCATGTATCCTTAGGCCAGAAGAAGGCATCAGATCCCCTTATAGTTGGTTGTGAGCCACATGTGGTTGCTGGGAACTGAACACAAGACCTCTGGAAGAGCAGCCAATGCTTTAACCATTGAGCCGTCTTACCAGCTCATCATATAGTTTGGTCTTCAAATGACCAAAATCTAGTTATTTGGATCTTGCCAGGCAAAACCAGTTGAAAGGAGTAGCCCTAGAATTTGATAAAATGTTCTGCCCTTCCCAGCTTGTCTGCTGTTACTGTTGTAGGAAGAGGAATCCTGACTATCATTCCTGTTCCCACGGGATCATCCCAGGCCATGGTACTGTAAGGAGAACTTACTATTGCTCTTTTTTGGCTAAGACTTTTTCCTAAAGAAAATGTTCAACTGCACTTATTACCAACCTTGTTTATTTTACTAATTTTTACTTATTTTATTTATGTTGGACTAGGTATTATATGAACTTCCCACCAACACACAGTGGTGCTTTGATATCCAGTGGTGTCCTCGGAATCCTGCTGTCTTGTCTGCCGCTTCCTTTGATGGACGGATCAGTGTTTATTCCATCATGGGAGGAAGCATAGACGGCTTACGGCAGAAACAAGTTGACAAGGTAACAGGCAGCATTAAGACCTTTGATGATTGCAACTCAAAAAGATAGCCATTTGTGTGCAATTATTTTTAAAGTGATTTTACCAACCAGCAATGCCACTTTACTGGATATTCTGTTGGTAGATATTTTGTTGTTGAAAATTGAAAATTGCAACACAGTTTGCATAGGTTACTGATTTATACTTTTTTTTTTTCAAACTAGCTTTCGTCGTCTTTTGGGAATCTTGATCCCTTCGGCACAGGACAACCCCTCCCTCCATTACAAATACCACAGCAGACCGCTCAGCACAGCATAGTGCTGCCCTTGAAGAAGCCTCCCAAGTGGATCCGGAGACCTGTGGGCGCTTCCTTCTCAGTAGGTGGATTTGTTTGTATGGTCAGGGCAGTGTATTAACTGGGAAATTGTGGAGCAGCACAAAGTACTGTGTGTCCATGGTGGCTTGTGAAAACTGCATAGGACAGCGGAAGGATAGACTGAGGTTCTGGGTCGTGGGAGGCCGTGTCAGTGGGGCCCAGCTTTGACTTGAGCAGGCTTACAGTGCCTTCATTGGGAGCTCAGCGTGATGGCTCTTCGCTCATTTGTTCTTCACAGTTTGGAGGGAAGTTGGTGACTTTTGAGAATGTCGTAGTGCAGCCGCAGCAGGGAGCTGAGCAGCAGCGGAGGCAGCCTGTGTTCATCAGTCAAGTGGTGACAGAAAAAGATTTTCTCAGCCGGTCGGAGCAGCTGCAGCACGTTGTGCAGTCTCAGGGCTTTATCAGTTACTGCCAGAAAAAGATCGATGCTTCCCAGACTGAGTTTGAGAAAAATGTGTGGTCCTTCTTGAAGGTAATGTTGGGCTTATTTTTAATTTCTGTTCCTTACTTTTTAATTTCTGTGTCTGTACATGTTCATTTTACAGTGAACGTGTTTATTTGCTTAGCCATCTCCCTGGCCCTAAAGGTAGCTTTATTTCATTACCAGTGAATTTAATTGTTCCTATTATAATCAAAATGTATTTTCTTTTTCAAGAAACATTTGAGATAGTTTGATTTCAGAAATGCAAGATGAAATTAAGGAAACCCAAGCTGGGCACAGTAACATCACACTTGTAATGCCACCACTTGGGTCCCGAGCTCAAGGCCAGCCTGGGCTGTTATAGCAAGACCTTGTCTCAAAGCCAGAAAAAAACTTATAAAGAGAACACAGGACAAGCATAATTTCTTAAGTCATTAAAGCTAAATAGTGTGGAAATACTCTTAAAGGAGAGAGAGACATCACTAAGCAGACCTAACACTAGACCCTGAGAGATACTATAATAAAATAGCATCTGTCACAGACCTGGTGAGTGACAGGAGGAGAGAAGTGAGGGAGGTGGGGTTTAGAGGCATTTCTCTTCCTGCTGATACAGAAGAGCCAAAGGAAAGAACCTTTCAGTAAATTGTCTTTTCATAGCAGACTTTCTTCTTGGGCATTTTGCTTTCACAGATGTTCCTTGATACTGATTTTTCCAAGAAAACCAATCTTGAATATAATAAGGTTAAATTCTATAATTCTACAGTTATAGTTTGTGGGTTAGGAGTAAAATTTTCTTTCCATTTGAGACAGGGTCTCTCAGTGTGAATGCAGTTCTCGTGGTGACCAGGCAGGCCTCAGAAAGCCACCTGTCTGCCTCCCTAGAGCTTAGGTTACAGGTGTGTGCCACCACGCCTGGCTTAGGTGGAAGATTTGAAAAAGTTTTTGGGTATTGAATACTGTATACACTTTTATTTTCTCATTAAACCACTGGCCATGAATTACTTTGTATTTAACAAAATTGTAGGTAAAAACCAAGCCTCACTTATCCAGAATGATTAATTACACACATACTTAGCCTTAAAAAAATAGCTGGCTTACCCAGGCCTGATGGTCCATGGCTGTAACCCCAGCAGTTGAGAAGCAGAGGCGGGAAGGTGAAGATGTCAGGATTACTGTGTGCCACACAGAGCATCTGAGTCTGAGGCTTGGGCTACTGAGATCCAGTCTCAAACAAAACACTAGTTTTTAGAAGAAGTTATTTAGGGATGTGGTGGCATATGCCTTTAATCTCAGCATTCAGGAGACAATGACAGGTGACTCTTTGTGAGTTCAATCAAGGTCAGCCTGGTCTACACAAGTCCCACATCAACCAAGGTTATGTATCAAGATCCTGTCTCAAATAAGCCATTTGAAGTCTAGAATTGTCCAGGAGAGATGGCTCTTTCAGATGACCTGAGTTGGGTCCCCAGCACTGGGTTGGGGGCCTCACAACCTCCTGTAACCTCACTGTAGGGAACTGGTGTCCTCCTCTGATCTTTGCCAGCACTGAACTCAGCATGCACAGATCAGCATGCAGGCACGCATGTTCATACATAGTTTAAAAAAAAAAAAGCGGTTTTTAGAGTTAAATTCTTTTTGAACAATGAATTTTCGAGATTTTGTGGACTTTTAATTCTTTAGTGATTTTATTTGGAATTTGGTCAGTTTGTAGAAAAACTAGGTTTAAATGTAGGTCTTTGTTTGAAGATAATATCTCTTTTAAAAGGTAAACTTTGAGGAGGATTCTCGTGGAAAGTATCTTGAGCTTCTTGGATACAGAAAAGAAGATCTGGGGAAAAAGGTGAGTCCCTAAGAAAGTCAAGTGACTGTCTCAAGTAAAACATTTATGTGTTTTTATAAAGTTCTATACAGATTTTATCAAATCAGTCAATAAACATTTAATAAGAATTCATATATGTTACCAAAGTTTTCAAATGCAAAACTCCATTATATGGCTGGATTTAGAAGCTGTCAGAACCATCTGTACCTCAGCCTGAGGCATCAGGAATGACTTGGCCTTGACAGATAAGTCACACACACTGAAGCTTTATTGGGGAGGAGCTACAGTGAGATCTTCCCAGCTCTGACACACCAGGGAAGGAGACACTGTATGAGCCACTGCAGGCTCCCACCCTAGCTACAGCAATGCTTTCGCTTTTTTTTTTTTTTTTTTTTTTTTTTTTTAATGCTTTTCAAAACAGTTGTTTTCTGTGTAGTCCTGGCCTTTCTGGAACTCTCTATGGACTAGGCTGGTTTCAAACTCACAGTGATTCTTGCCTCTTCCTCCCAAGAGCTGGGATTAAAGGTGTGTGCCACCATGGCCTGGCCATCATGGAATTCTTAAGTGGCACTTTGTTAACCAGGTAACATTAATTCCGTTTTGAGAGGAAAACACATTCTAGTTTTGTCGTCTCCTCAGAAACCGTGTTAATTGGTCAGTGTTGGCCTGAGCAGCAGGTACCACAGAGACCTTGAAACACTTAGTTCTTTGGCCCGTCACCACCTTTGCCAGCAACTGAACTTTTCTGTAGAAAACACAGCTGCCTAAACAGTGTGTGCTGTCTCAGTGTGCCCCTCTGAGGGCGCATGGGATGAGCCTTATCCTGGGCACACTGCAAGGGTCTTCCCTTATGCCTTTAAAGTGGTTTTTATTTGATTTCATCATTAGCATCCTTGATGCTCTTGATTTTTCTGAGTTTTCAGGAGATTGAAGTTTTACTTGCATGCCTAGAAGCAAAAAATTCGGAAATAGAATCCTTATCAAAATACTGCTAAAGCAATTTGTTTTTTTAAACAGTGTAAGCCAGGCATGGTAGCCCAGGCTTTAAACCCAGCACTCAGCAGACAGAGGCAGCGGATCTCTCTGAGTTCGAGGGCAGCCAGGGCTGCAGAGTGAGATCCATTTAAAGAACAAACAACAACAAAACAAAAACTTACTTCTAGTTATTTAAAACAACAAAGTATAAGAAAGCATGTTTCTTTTAAGGTTGATTTTGTGGTTAGACAGCAGAACTGAAGAACATCTGAACAGTAGAATTCCATGTAGATGAAACTAGAGCTAGAAAAGCCATTCTGCACAGATCTTCGCTTTCTCCCTAAACATGCTGTCCCTGATAAGAATGTGGAGCTGTGCTGAGAATGGGGTAACACTAAACCTTGCTGTTTTCCCTGAACTAGAATTCCATTTAGTAGGTGAGTTGTTATTTTCCTTTCAGATTGCTTTGGCCTTGAACAGAGTGGACGGATCCGATGTGGTAAGAAGGCCGTTAAAAATAGCTGTTTTGTGAGAGTTTGCGTAGATCATGACAAGGAAGGGTAACTTGAGAAGTTATGTCTTGTGCTTCCTGGTTTAAAAAATACCAGTTCTAAGTATTCTAGTAAGTTCATAATTCTCACCTTAAGTTGAGCTTTTAAAGCATGTCACTCTTGATATATTTGAACTTTATAAAAGGGAAAACTGAGTCAATGCCTGTTCAGATACTTGAGGTAAAGCTCTTGTGTGTCATGTGACATGTGATAACCGGAAGGAAGAGGTTGGCAGTGACAGTTCTTGCTCTCCTTTTAATGTTGTTTCTGGAATAAATTTGCCTGGTTGCTTCTTATGATCAAGCTCTGTGTGTGGTTGGTTGGGTCTTTGTCTCTCGTTACTAATAACCTTTAATGCTACGTTCCTCAACTCCTCTGATTGTTTTATGTACCAAAGGCTCTTAAGGACTCTGACCAAGTAGCGCAGAGTGATGGGGAGGAGAGTCCTGCTGCTGAAGAGCAGCTCTTGGGAGAGGTACTGACTTTTTATATTCTATTGGAAAACTGTGTGATAATTGTGTATCTCACTTGAAACTTGGGGCATTCTTGACTAATTGTTGCCAACTATGTTTGAATATATTGTTTTTTAGGTATGTTTAGGGTAAGAGTCTGTTCACCTCACCTAACAGAAGTATCTCTGTGCTCTAGTTCCTTGGCCCAGCTTCTGGATTGTATGGCTTAAAATTAGCAGCAGATGTGAGATTTTCTTAATTGGCTCAGGAGACTACCAGATGCTAAACTGAAGAGATGTTTCATTTGGAAATGCAGTTGCCTTTGCATGTCAACATTTAATTTGTATAGCTTACTGTCAGTGTTAGAGGTTCTAAATTAGTCCTGAACTTGGAACACAAGTCAAGAATATTTTATAAAACTAAACCAATTGTGATGATTTACTATGTGCCCTTAGCTGTGCTTGGTAATTCCTGAAATTAATTAAGAAGAGACCTTGAATACAAACTTGTATCATTAATTTGTTTCCTTTTGATTCTCTTTCTTTCTCCTCCCAACTAACAACTAATTCTGGAATTTACTTTTTTTGCTTTCTAATTTTACTTAATCTTGGAAAATTAATCAGGCTCTTATTTTGTATCTAATCTTTGACTTTTCCATTGCCTTTTTCCTTGACTATGAAATACTTATAAACATAATTCGTGAATATTTTGGGCTACTACAAACTGATATAGAATATCTTTTCTATTGAAATCAGTTCCTAGAATTTAAGAAGGAAATAAGGAGCATTGTAAAATCTCCCTCAACCTTTGAACTAGTTTTGGAGATATCCAGGGAAATTTATAGATACCTACGAGGATGTTCATTTGCATGCAGATAGATTAACCGACTTATCAAATTAAAGTCTTGCTTGGTAATGCACTCAGAGTAATCGATAATGCCAGATAGCCGTCATCAGTCAAAAGGAAAAAGAATCTTCCCTTCTGTCTTGATGATACTTTTTGCTTTTCAATATAGTATCTTATATATTTGAGGTTTCAGTATATAAGAAATTATGTATTTGGGGCCCTATTAATATCTCAGGAGTTCATAAGTACAGGTTTATTAGTTGTGTATAGAAAGTATATCTGAAAATGGTAAGTTAGAAAAAGGAAAAATGGTGTTGTTTGTATGGTCCTGGGGATTGAGCACAGGGCCTCATGTATCCCAGGTCTCCTGTATTTTTTCCCATATGCATCTCCAGCCCTGAAAGTACTTTCTAGAAACTCGATGAACAGAGATAGTGAGGGTGGATAGCTGGTTTACCCCTCAGTGTGGTTAATGTAAACTACCAGTGCTTTTCTAAACTTGAAGTGGGGAGGAGGGAGGACTTGCCTCCTGCTGTAAGGGTAATGAGTTCCATGCCTTAGGTGAGCCTGTGCTGGACCCTACTCAAGGATGTCACATTCTGGAGTGTAGGCAGTGCAGATGCAGGTGTGGATGTTTGATGTCATGTAGGATAACTTTGTTTTCATTTAAAAGAAAATGCTTGGGATGTCTACGTAGTCTTTACAAGTCCCTGAAGTGAAATTTTGATGTTTTGAATTTCAGATCGTTTTGTATTCAGATTTTGAATTGAGTCACACAGTTTGTAACCTTTATAATAGGATTATGTGTATACCCGTATACACCTACAACCAGGCTATGTGCTGTTCCATATGTATCTACTTTAAAGGAAAATGAAATGAATGATTTAATTTTGTATGTTTAAAAACAATTTTTATACTGCCTTTTTTGTTTGGTTTTTGTGGCTCTGGAGACCACACCCACTTGCTGGGCTTGTGCTCTGTAACTGAGTCAGCTACAAGCCCTGGTTTGCTTTTGTACTTAAGACACCAAGTAATTTGTTTTCATGATTTAACTTTGACAAAAAGATTTTGTAGACAAACCTGTAAATTCTAGAATTAAAAACATACCTATTTTTAAACCTTGAAGTGATTGAAGTTGGAGGATGTAAACAAGCGTGCGTTACTTTTGACAGCAGCTTTTCCTGTATGTGTGCCAAGTGTGCACACCTGATTTGCTGTCTTGGATGACTGGGTTATTTACGTCTTATATGGGAGTTAATGGCTCAGGAAGGCCCAGAGTCTAGTTTAAACTTGGATATGGTAACTTTGTGAAACAACTTGGTGTATCATCTTCTAGGTAGATGAATAATCATACAGAATTTTTTAGGAGTAAATTATTTTAGTTTCCATTTTGCTTAATTGTGCCCTTTTATCTCTTTAGCGCATTAAAGAGGAAAAACCGGAAAGTGACTTTCTGCCCTCCGCTGGAGGGACGTTTAACATCTCTGTCAGTGGGGGTAAGTGCCCTTGGCGTAAACGTAAGAGGAGTCATCTTCTAGCTTAGATTAGACAGAGAAAGACAGAGAGTGTGAGTGTGTACAGCACACCATTGAGGATTTTGAACTCACAGTCCTCCTGTGTCTCATCCTCACACGACCTGGGATTTCAATTGCTTACCTATAGGCATAATTAGAATGTGTTGTCGGTGGGCAGGGTTAAGAAAGAACTTGTCTAACTCACCTAAGTGGTCTTTACTAATACAGAGAGTGTTACTATGTATACATCTTGTTTACTTCCATAACTTCCATAAATACAGCTTATTTTGGAAATTTAATCTGCTAGTAATAAATTAGCATTGTGCTCTCCATTTGTCTGAGTATGAAATCTGTTGTACATAATTTTCTTGTAATTGTTTTTGGTAACAAATTCTATTTAATGTGGATGCTGTGTTTTCTTGTTACAGATATTGATGGTTTAATTACTCGGGCCTTGCTGACGGGCAATTTTGAGAGTGCAGTTGACCTTTGTTTACATGATAACCGAATGGCTGATGCCATTATATTAGCCATAGCGGGTGGACAAGAACTCTTGGCTCAAACACAGAAGAAATACTTCGCAACATCCCAAAGCAAAATTACCAGGGTATGGCATTTTTCAAAATAAACAGTAGCCTACACACATTCAAATACAGATATACTTTATAAAATTTTATATTAGCTGGATAAACCTAGCACTCAGGAGGCAGAGGCTAGTAATCTCTGAGTTCAAGACCAGCCTGGTCTACAGAATGAGTTCTAGGACAGCCAGGGCTACACAGAGAAACCCTGTCTCAAAACTGCCCTTCCTCCCAAAAATTACATTTAGTTTTTAGCTGGGGTCTTGCCACATAGCCCAGGCTTTCCCTCTGCCTTCAATCCTCCTGCCTTAGCCTCCTGAGTATTAGAATTATAAGACTATTTGTTATTCTGTTTATGAGGGTAGTATGCTATCGTTGTTGTTGTTATTATTTTTATTATTGATAATTGAGATACAGTTAAGAAATTAAATTACTTGACACAGAAATGGTAGTTTATTTTGATATGAAACAGTTCCAGTGTTTTGACTCCCTTATAAAACATTAAAAACGTTTCTAGAGGTTTAAAGTAAAAATTGTAGTTATCTCTTAACCTTTACCAGAAGTTAGTGCACATCTTTCTATGCCTTTCTGCATGTTTGTAGAATATTCCTGACAGAATCAAGGTCACATATAGATCCACGTGTCATCTTTGTTGACACTATCACAGTGTAAGCTTCTCCTGCATTGTTAAGGACTGTTAGAAATGTTTTTAATTATTCTCCAATAGTTTATAGTCAAGATGTATTATGTCCCAATTTGGGATTATTTAGGCTCATTTTAATGCTTTCCTCATATAGGTAAACAACATTGTTTTATATGGTAAATAAAACTGTTACGCCTAAAGATTTGCACAGTTTTGATTATTCAATTACTGGAATCTCTGGCATAGCTCTGAACATTTTTAAGCTTAATGTTATTTTCTGTGTCTGAAAAAAGTAGTTTTGAAACTTTTTTTCCAGACAGGGATTCTCTGTGTAGCCCTGGCTGTCCTGGAACTCACTCTGTAGACCAGGCTGGACTTGATCCACCTGCCTCTGCCTCCTCAGTGTTGGAATTAAAGGCATGCACCACCACGCCCAGTGTGGACTTTACTGTTGTAAAGTTATTCTAATACTGAGTCTGAGGTGGCTGCCCCCAGGCCTTGCCTGAGCCCCTCTGTCTGTCAGGTTGGTGTCATTCCCGCCCTCATTGCTATGCTGCCTCCGCTTTGAAGGCTTTGGGTTGTGTTTTATACATTTATGTCTTTTGTATGTGCACACATGATGCACTTGTACCATGGAGTGAATACTTGTGGAGGTCAGAGGACAGCTTGCACAAGGTGATTTCCTCTACTAAGAGGACCTGGGGATTGACCTTGGGCTGTTAGCCTTGATTTTCAGGCTTGGTGTCAGCACTCTGTCCTGCTTCATGGTCCTACTGGCCCTGCCCTGGTCTTTGACCTTTCTTTATGACGTTCTTTGTCCTTCAGATGTCTCCCAGGATACCATGCTTAGACAACGTTTCCTGATTCATTAGACCCAGGAACAACATTGTTTTCTTAGTATCCTATGCTTCTCTTCTGAGGCCCTTTATAAAATACATTGACATAATTTTCTTTTTGAAGGAAAAATAGTGTCTGTTATTTGGTTCAAAGCATGTTTTCACTGTGCTGCTGTTTGATTTGGTATAAAAACCATAAGTTGTCATTTTAAAGGTGAGATTCCTTGGTATGGGACATAGCAGCAGTGATTGCCCTAGGTTAGACCACAGCACTGCAGGAGTGTAAAGATTAGCTCATCCTCATGTTTTCTGTTTCCTTTCCCAAGCTGATCACTGCAGTGGTGATGAAGAACTGGAAGGAGATTGTTGAATCCTGTGATCTTAAAAATTGGAGAGAGGCTTTAGCTGCAGTACTCACTTACGCTAAACCAGACGAGTTCTCAGCCCTTTGCGGTAAGAGACGAGCTTTGCGGGGAACTGTTACATAGGTGGCCAGGGCACTGCACAGCTCAGGAGATTTACTAGGAACCTTTGTCTAATCACAGAGGAGAATTGTAAAATGCTGAGGTAGGCAGCACTCAGTGCTAGCTGCTCACACGTTTAACATAGTCATGTGAATTTGATTCTCAGCAGGATGAAAGACAGACAGATGGCAGGAAGGGATAGGAAAAGAAAATATGTCCATGCTTCTGAAGATACTGTTGAGCTGTTCACACCTCCTGCGCAGATGGAATGGGTCTTCTTACCTTGCCTTTTTCTTGATTCACAGATCTTTTGGGAGCCAGGCTTGAAAGTGAAGGAGACAGCCTCCTGCGCACTCAGGCCTGCCTTTGCTACATCTGCGCGGGGAATGTGGAGAGATTGGTTGCTTGTTGGACCAGAGCTCAAGACAGTAGCAACCCCTTGTCTCTCCAGGTGAGTGTCTTTGAAACAGAAGGTGCTTATGCTGTAGTGTGCCCGCAGCTGAGCTGGAGACGCGTGCTCTAGAAGCTTGCTGCCTTCACCTGTCTTATGGCCTCTCGGGACACATCACTGTGTGTTTTCATAGTCATCTTTGAAGAAGCCAGGTGTGAGATGATGGGCTAGGCAGGTGTGGATGAAGCTGCCAGATCAGGGGGTGTGCAGCAGCTTACTAGAGCAGTAGGCGGCAGGAACACTGAAAGCCTGGGGTTTAGCAGCTTTCTCTCAAGCTCCTTCCTCTGGCAGTGAGCGGCAATGTGGGCTGGAGAATGGAAGGCATCCCAGCCCTGAGGAGAGAAGTTATGATCAGGGAATGAGGTACGAGATAAAGGGAACTCAGGTTAGCTCTATCACACAGGCTAGAGAGAGCCAAACTGTGGAGATTGTCCCAGGCCTCAAGTAGAGCTTAAAATTTCCCCCAAGGCACCCAATGGGCAGTCTTACCCTAGCTCAGTGTAGTATTTCTTCTCTCTGGAAAAAAAATTTATCCACAGTCATAGTTTAGTTTTAAACATCATTCTTTTGAGATTAAAAGTCTGTTTTTTGTTTTTGTTTTTGTTTTTTTTAAAGCAAGCTTTTCCTTGCAAGTGCTTCTGAGAAGTAACGTGTTTCTCACCTCCGGGTGGAGGGAGGGTGTCCTACACACTCTCGCAGAGCAGATCTCCCTTTACAAGGCCTGCTCTCCAAGAACAGCTCCACAGCCTTTGCCACAACCATGTTAGTCAGTCTGCATTATTGTAATGACTGGACCAGTTAACTTTACAGAGAAAGGGCTTTATTCAGGGTCTGGAGAGTCCTGTCAAAGGTTGGGTAGGTAGCCCATGGCTTTGGGTCTCTGGCAGTGGCAGCATATTGACAGGAGAACATGGCTGACCCACAGGAGGCAGAAGAGCAACAGAAAGGGATATCCTCAGTGACCTAATGGCCCCCACTGGGCCCCACTTCTTCCAGGTTCTACTACTCTGCAGTAGAGCCAGCCTTTGGAGGGAATTGAACGTGAGCAAGTGGTGAGCCCTTTGGAGGTGTCGTAGTAATGTTGGTGCAGGAAACATGGCCTGCTGCTGGTCGGCATCCAGGTGGTGCTCAGTTCTTGTGTGCTCTTCGTGTAGGGAGAGAACTGGAGCTGTACTTTCGGTAGACTTTGGGAAGCTTAGTGACTGTCTCTCTCCTGCGTCTTTCATGTATGTGTTGGAGTCTCTGATTGTCTCCTTCTCCCTTGCTTTTCTCATTTAGGATCTGATTGAGAAAGTTGTCATCCTCCGCAAAGCTGTGCGGCTCTCCCAAGCCATGGACACAAACACTGTCGGGGCTCTTCTGGCCGAGAAGATGAGTCAGTATGCCAGCTTGTTGGCAGCCCAGGGCAGCATTGCTGCAGCCTTGGCGTTTTTGCCTGACAACACTAACCAGGTAACTAGTGTCCATCTTCATCATTGTTTTATTTTGTTTTGAGACAGGTCCCTGGCTGTCCTGGAGATCGCTTTGTAAACCAGGCTAACCTCAAATTTAGAGACACCCTGCCTCTGCTTCCCAAGTGCTGAATTATGTCCAACTCACTTTTTTTCTTTCTTAAATTTTTTTTTTTTTTTTTTTTAAGAATCTCATGTTTCCAGGCTGGTCTTGAACTTACTATAAAACTGAGGATGGCCTTGAGGGTGCCTCTGCTTCCCAGGGCTGTGATTATGGCTGTGTGCCACTGTACCCAGTTGCCCTCGTTGTATCGATGCCTAAGACCTTCTACCTAAGACTGACTTAGACCTCTAGGGCGAATCATCTAGTCATCAGATCATCAAATCAAACCCTGTATTTTTAGTGTCACTTAGAACTACATATATTTTATTTGTTTTGAGACAAGATCTCAAAACTCTGTGTAGTGAAAACATTGAACTGATGTCCTAACCAAGAGGTGACATATGTCAAAGCCCTGACTCTGAAGTGACAAGTTGTACTGTGTGTCTCTGTCCTTTGGTGCCAGTCTGGGTTATTGACTCATGAGTAGCAGTGTCTTTTCTAGAACACTTGACATAAGAACTGTGAAGGGGTCTCTCGAATGATCAGATGACTTCAAGAATGATCAGCGTGCTCCCGTATAGCTGGGTTAGCTCTGAGGTTTGCTCCCTTCTACTTTCTACAGCCAAATATCGTGCAGCTGCGTGACCGACTCTGTAGAGCACAAGGCAAGTCTGTGCCGGCACAGGAATCATCGAAGAGCCCATATGAGAGGCAGCCGCTGTCCAAGGGCAGGCCTGGACCAGTTGTTGGCCACCCGCAGATGCCCAGAGTTCAGACTCAACAATATTATCCCCATGTGAGTGATATGGTCCAGGTGACGTGGAACCACGTCTGTCCAAATGGATGGTTTTAATTTTTTATTTTTATTTTTATTTTGTTTTTCGAGACAGGGTTTCTCTGTGTAGTTCTGGCTGTCCTGGAACTCACTCTGTAGACCAGGCTGGCCTCGAACTCAGGCTGGTCTCTGCCTCCCAAGTGCTAGGATTAAAGGCGTGCGCCACCACCGCCCGGCTAAAATGGATGGTTTTAATGTGCTTGGTACAATTGCAGTGAAGCTACATGGGCATATAGTGTTGCAGTTGCACTCAGTGGACCTGAGCGGGGTTTATGACCTGTTTCTCAATCACCTCTTTCGTGCAGTTATTTCCACTGGTTTAGGTTAGTTTTCAGTCTCTTTAGTGAGACTGTTTCTTCAGTCTCAGTCGGTCTTCCCTATACATGTACCTCTGCTCTCTAAATCCTACTGGACTCACTTAACAAAGGACAGAGGGAAGGTAGTGAGAATGAGTTAATGATTAGCTCGTTTTTAGAAGGCCTTTTCTGAGCATTTTGTTTTTCCATCACCAGGGTAAGTAAGTTCATCATGTCCTCTGTACCACACAGTCAAGAGTAACCTGACAACAAGCATTGAGTGAACCAACTTACATTTTAAAGACTAAAGGCTATGACGAGTTGGGATCGGATTACTAGTTTTATTTAATCTTGTGTTTATGCCATAAAATGTTGTAGCATTGGTTTTTACAGTTTCATTTAGAAACTGTATTTACAGACCAACAGATAATCTTTTTTTTCCTTTCCTTGACAGCATTTTACTATGTAAGCCCTCGTTGGCCTGGAACTTAGTATGTACATCAGTATGGCCTTGATTTCATGAGTGAGATCTGCTTGCCTTTGTCTCCAGAGTGCTGGGGTTGAAGTGCGTGCGTGCTACCACACCCTGCCCTTCATTTATATTCTTAAATGGAAGATACTTTTTTTTTTTTTTTTTTTTTTGGTTTTTTCGAGACAGGGTTTCTCTGTGTAGCCCTGGCTGTCCTGGAACTCACTCTGTAGACCAGGCTGGCCTCGAACTCAGAAATCCACCTGCCTCTGCCTCCCAAGTGCTGGGATCAAAGGCGTGTGCCACCACCGCCCGGCTTGGAAGATACTTTTTAAAAGTAAAGTATGAATAGTCTTGACTGATAGTGAAGTTGATGTTTCAGATAGAACAAATTGGTCACAGCGTCAACAGGATTTTTTTTTTCATTATAGGAAAAGTAAATCTAAAATCATGAGAGACCTCGATTGTTCAACCTCTCTTTCTTGTACTTCGGATCAGTCCTAATTCAGAACTGAACAGGAACAGAGCTAGTCAGATAGTACTGATAGTACTCAGATACAGCTTTGCTATGTGGAACACGGTTTCTTTTTTTCCACAATTCATTTTGCAAGTACCTACTGCAGCTCTTCTGTGAGGGCCCGGCATTAGTCTTGCTGTAGGGAGTATCCTGGTAAACAAGCTACACAGTTTCTCTCCCCTTATGGACATTGTACTTACAAAACCTGTCATGGAAATGGGGGTGAAATGTTGACCAGGACAACGAAGAGGTAGATGTCACATAACTTTGTGGGGTTCAAGGCACAGAGATGTCATCTCTGCACCACCCAGCTGGTTGAAGGCTAAACTTTGGTTAGAATTTTTGGTCAGTTGGTGTTTAGACTAAGATGTTTCTTGAGGTACTAATAAAGCAGGGCTTGCTCTACATTGGAGAAAAGAACAGTTATTCTTTGTGCCTTTGGCCTGCCTCCCCCCCCCCCCCCCCCGAAATGATGAAAGCCTTTAAAAGCTGTTGAATTTTGCTGGGCACAGTAGTGTACCATTTGAAGATTTACATTCACTCGGGAGGCAGACGCATGTGGATCTCTGTGAGTTCGAAGCCAACCTCATGTCTATAACAAATCCCAGGTCCCCTAGAGCTACATATTTAGATCCAGTCTCAAAGTAAAATAATAACAAAATCACAGTTGTTTCACTTTCACCAATCTTGTATTTTGAGAAAAGCAGGTAAATTCCATCAAATGATCAGGGATTTTCTTGCTTAGTGGAGGAGGTGGTGGTGTTGAACTTTAAAGTAAGGTTTGCAAGCGGAAGGGGTAGGAGGCTGAAAGTCATTTTATGTACATATGTCTGTGCTGGAGTTCTGGAAAGATTTGCATACCAAAAAGGATTTTGATGGTTTTAGGAAGGGCTGGAGAGATGGCTCTGCAGTTAAGAGCTCTGACTGCTCTTCCAGAGGTCCTGAGTTCAATTCCCAGCAACCACACAGTGACTCACAACCATCTGTAATGGAATCCAGTGCCCTCTTCTGGTGTGTCTGAAATCAGCTACAGTGTACTCATAGGCATAATATAAGTAAAAAAAAAAATAAATCTTTAAAAACAAAAGTTTTCGGAAACCTTTTAGACTGAACTTGAGAGTAAGCAGCGTGGTGTAGTAGGGCCGGCTCAGTTTGAACTCCGTCACCTATGGTCCTATGGACCTTAAAGTCACTTCTTGGTGAAGGCAGAGGTTAGGTGAGCAATCTGTAGTGTTCCTCTCGCGTAGGGTTTGGCTGGATGACGTTGAGTTTTCTGAGGGAAGTATACGCCTTGTGAATGGCCTCATGGAGCATGTTGCCACTCACTAGTAGCATGGAAATGGTTACTCAGGCTCCCGAGTGTCTTCTTTCTACCTAAGGACCTCTTCCCACTCACTCTGTATTATTTACTTATGTACTTATTTGTTTTTTATGTGTTAATGAATGTTTTACCTGCATGTACACCAGATTCCCTGGGCCTGGAGTCATAGATAGTTGTGATCTGTCCCGATGGGTGTTGGGAATTGAACCCTGGTCCTCTGGAAAAGTAGCCAGTGCTCTTAACCACTGAACTACCTCTTCAGCTTGCCTCATTCCCTCTTGAATGGGTTTGTTCTTGTGCTGATTGAGGTTTTCACCCTGTTTTCCTGCCTCCCTCCAGCTGTTTTGTTGTGTTTTCTTTTGGAACCTGGTGGCCCTTGGAAGCCATTGCTTTGCTACATGTAATCTTGCTGCTTTGACTTTTTGCTTTGCATCTTGCTATTATGCCCTTTTGAGTTGTTTACTTCTTCTTTTAACGTTTTTATTTTTTATTTTCTGTGATTGGTATTTCTTTGTTCAATTCAGGTTAGAATTGCCCCTACTGTCACTACCTGGAGTAACAAAACTCCCACTGCCCTCCCCAGCCATCCACCTGCAGCCTCTCCCTCTGACACACAGGTATATCTGCTCCCTGACTATATATAACACTATATAGAACTATCAGCTGATTATATAGATGATTATATATGCTCTCCCTTCCTTCTTCCTTGTTCCTCTCCAGTCCCTACTCTGCATCCATCTGCCTGCTCGGTGCATCTTATTGCTTGTGGGATGCAAGTGGCAATTTTTAGTGCTATCAGTTTGTTTTCTTATCCTTTCTCTTCTTCTGCAGTTCTAAATTTACTTGAGTTAGAAAAATCTCAACCAAGGTTCAAATAATGGTTTAAATTGAATTTTCTGAAGGTGTTTCTCTTTCTTGTAAGCATTGCAGAAATGGAAGAAAACCAAAAGTCCCCATATGCTATTTATGTCCAGAGTCCGGAGCAGTGAATGGAAGTTAGTAGAGATGAGATTTCTGCTGTTAACACTGTTAGGCCACAGTGTTCTCGGCCCTGTTATGAGGCCGTTGCTGTTGCTGTCCCTGCCGTCAGTTTGGACCTTTAGATCACTCAGAACGTGTTCTGAGTAAGATAGTATAGGCAAAATGCAGCTCTCTCATATAATAGCTTTAAAAAAATAAACACCAATTCCATTTCAGAGACTGCAAGGCTATTTGGTGAGACTTGATCCCAAATATAATCTTCCTTTTTACTCTGTTCTCATTTCCCAGGGAGAAAATCCTCCACCTCCGGGTTTCATAATGCACGGCAATGTTATTCCAAATCCCACCGCCCCGCTGCCTGCATCCCCAGGCCATATGCACAGCCAGCTGCCTCCTTATCCACAGCCACAGCGTAAGTAGCGGGGCTGGGACCCTCACGGTAGCATGCCTCCCACCGCTTACTCAGCGGCAGCAAAGCCATGGTCAGGGCAGTCTTGACAGAGAAAATCAGGGCACTAGGATGTCGCCCAGTGCTAGAGGGCTTGCTTAGTGTGTTCAGCTTCTAGTACCAGGGGAGAGGGGGAAGTGGGGAATAGACACACGAGAGAGATAGAGGGCGTTCAGAGTCTGTGTGCTAGGAAGTAGCTGCTGTATCATCCTGTTCAGAACAGTGGTGCCCTCTGTTCCTGGGTCATGTATAAGGCCTGTAAAATAGATAATGTATCTTGTGGTTTGGTATAGACAAAGAGAGCTGCAGAAGTTAGCCAGAATATATTCTTTTTCTTCAGACAACATGACACAAACCACAGTTTTGGCAAGTTGGTTCATGGGACATTTGTGGTTTTATTTATTTTTACTTTTTTATTTATTGTTCTTTTATTATTGGTTTTCATTTTATTTATTGTTGGCTTTGTTTAGTGTAGACTTTTAAAAATAAATTTAGCTTTACAGAAGAATTGAGCAGAACGTACAGGGCACCCACATGCTCACCTGCAGACTCTGCACCCTGCTCTCCAGCAGCACATGTTTGCAGCAGCGAACAAATGATGATACTGTCCTGTGCCAAAGCCCAGACTTTATGTGTGCACTCTTAGGTTTGTATATTCTGTGGACTTGGACAAAGAGAGCAGTTATACTTGAAAAAAATAAAAAGTACAACCAGGCATTGGGAATGCATGCCTTTAATCCCATCCCCAGGGGTGGGGGTCGGGTGTAGGGTAGAGGTAGGCAGATCTCTTGTAAGTTTGAGCCCAGCCTTGTCTACATAGTTTCAGGACAGCCAGGGCTATATAAAGTGACCTTATCACAAAAGAAGAAACAAAACCCAAAAAACTACTGTTTTACAACTTCAAACTGAGAACTTAAATAACACAGGGAAATTATAAGTTTAAACAACTATTAAAAATTAAGAACAGAGGTCCTAAGCAACTATTAAAAAAACAAGATACCCCTAAGCACTGATCCAAATGAGGGTTTTCTGGGCTGCAGGGATGCTTCACATAAACGTCCACTTCATGCAGTGCTCAGTGCTGTTTCTGGGTAGCAGATGCCCCAGGCGCGCACTGCAGAGACTCACCCTGCTCCTCTCCCTGCCCTCCCTGTGCAGATGTTAGCCTCTGTCAGGACGGTTGCTGGTGGAGGCTGAAGTCTTGAGCTACCAGCAAACTCTAAGGTTTTCCAGAAAAGCTCTGGGGCCACATGTCCTCATGGCTCCATCTGGTGGCTCGTAGCTGTCCCTGCAGTCTTAGGAGCAGGCAGTCCTGTCAGCTCCTAGATAAGATGGTCCATACTTCTCAGAGGTAGCATGCAAAGGCTCTGTCTTGTTTTTGTTTTCTGTTTATGTTTGAGGTGCTGGAGATGGAACCCAGGTTGTTTCCCGTGCTAGGCAAGTGCTCTGTCACTGAGCAACGTCCCCAGTCATGTGTCCTAGCTTTTGGTCTTACTGTTATAAGATGAATGATTAAAACCATTTTCCTATGTTGTGATTACTTTTTTCCTACTTCTGTGTGAATAAATATGTAACTAATTAAAGATTTCTGTTTCTTCCCTTGATGTAGCTTACCAGCCAGTCCAGCAGTATTCCTTCGGAACAGGGGGGTCAGCAGTTTATCAACCTCAACAGCCTGTTGCTCCTCCTGCTTCTAACACTTACCCTAACACCCCGTACATATCTCCTGCCGCTTCCTATTCTGGACACCCTCAGATGTACACAGCACAGCAAGCCTCCTCACCTCCCTCCAGCTCTGCTGCTTCTGTCCCTCCCCCCCCTTCCTCTGGAGCGTCCTTCCAGCATGGCGGACCAGGAGCTCCCCCGTCATCTTCAGCTTATGCACTGCCTCCTGGAACAACAGGTACACCGCCTGCTGCCGCCAGTGAGCTGCCTGCGTCCCAAAGAACAGGTCTGCGCTTGGAAGGGGTTTGCTTGGGCCTCCTGTTTCATGAGCAGAAGGGTGGGGGGGGGGGGCTTTATTGCCGAGTGTTTGTGAACTGAGTATCTGCCGGTTGAGTTTTATAACAAATTCTAGACTTTTGCATGAGTATGAGCCTCCCATACCAAACATCAGCTACTAAATGAAGACTACCTTAGACTAGCACTTCAGACTGCACTAAGACTGCATAACCTGCTGCTGCATGGACCTCAAAAAGTAGAAAATTAGGTGGCAAGACGAATGATAGTTGGAATCAGATTTAGTGGGTACTGTTATGTGAAGTGCAGAACTTTGGAGGATGGGGCGGGGGTGGGTGGTGAATCCTGAGATTTGAATGTAGACCTCAAGTGCTATCGAAATGCTCTACTGCTAAGCTGTGTCTCCAGCCCATTTCTTTACGTGAGCTCAGTGTTCTTGCAGGCCGGCTCAGTGTAGGTTGTTGACTTGCTGCAGGTCTGACAAGCTGCAAGGAGAGATGTAGCTTCTGGAGTTGTCCTCTGACCTCCATAGACACAAGTAAAGAAGTGTAAGAAAGTAAGGAAATTGAAAGTAAGGCCCCGGCCCGTTGGCATTGACAGCGCCCTCTTCAGATCATAATGGATGTTCACACTAGTGAGGCAGAAGGATGAAGTGAGGCTTGTTTAACCCGAATCCTGAAGCTCTTCTTCACAGGGAGACACAGGGAGAGTCTGTTCTGTGGTTTTTTGCTTTAAATGCTAAGCAGTAACGCTAACTCATAAAAATTTATCATAAGTCCACGGTAGAAACAGTCTTTTCAAATAAAATGCAATAATAAATATGGATATAAAATATTTTAAAAATATTACTAGTTTTAAAATCTTATAATTGATCCCAGAATTATAAACACACCTCTTTCCTCGTTTTATAATATGTAATATTAGCATCCGGAGAGCAAACATTATCCACTGCAAGTGTTGTCTTGGCTTTACCTGTGGGAGTGCAGCATGTTTGATACCATATGCCACCAGCCCCATATGTGATAACCTGGTTATTAACTAAGAGGAAGAAGAGACTGACAGTAACTAAAAATTATAACAGCAGCAGACTGCAGTAACTTGCCAGCATCAGTACAGCCTTCACTTTGGGGCCTTGTTAACTGAGGTAAGGGTGGTCTGTACAGTAGTAACACTCTGAACAAAGGGAAGCTTTGTACTTCATCGTGAAGTGTGTGTATCTGACTTCTCAGCTGTTGCTTACAAATGTTTAATATTCCACTTAGTAACCGTGGACATAGTTGACCATGGAGGAGAAAACTACATAGAAGGGGAGCCGAGCACACATATTTCAGTAATGCACCACAGACACACCTTAGTGCTTTGATGGTTACAAAATGAGTGCTAGCTCCTAGAACTCCAAAACCACCCTTATAACCTAGAGAAGCAACCATTCTGAGCAGCTGGAGAGGATTCTTCTGTAGAAAACAGAGTGGGCTCAAGGAAATGCCCTCTTAAGCAGTGCAGGAAGAAGAGGAGGAGCTCACTTTTATTAAAATGCCTTGGGCATGACCTGGCATTTGCTGTATGTCTTGCCTTCAGTCCTCACAACCCTGAGAAACAGAACCTCTTAGGTTTGTTAAGATTGTAGATGAGGAAACTGGAACTTGTTTCAAGTGTTGTGACCAGTCTCGGCGCTCACACATTGCTCTCTGGTTTAACCTGGCTCTGTGTCCTTGCTGCTCGTTCTGTACCTGCAGTTGGAGTTCTTGTGTCAGCGTAAAAACTTCTCAGTGGTGGGATTACAAGAATTCCCCAGCACCATTGCTAGAGGCTTTTGTCACTTTCTAATAGAAAATAAATATTTGCACAGAAAATAAAACAGTGCACAGCATTGTTTTTTGCCTTAGGCAGAAGTGCATTTGCCATGAGGTATGTCTGCTGTGCAGTTGTAACCTGGCTGAGAGGCAGAATGGCTAACAGGAAGAGCACCCACACTAACCTTCCCTGGTGTTCAGCATGCACTGTGTTTGCCTCACTGACTGTTCACCTCCTGCATGTAAACCTTCCTGTTGCCTTAGTTACACTTACCTCACTGTGCTTTCATTTTGGATTTCCTAAAGGTTTTGTTGAAGTTACATAATTGTGACTAGAAAGTTTGTCATATTGTAATGTGTCTTGGATGATGGGTTTTTTTGATATTTAGAAGTTCCAGTTGACCAGTGGGTTAGATCCTACAGATTTCCAAGCTTCCTGTGAATATATGAGATTGTATGGCAAAGGCTCATAGAAATAGATGTTGCAGTTAGCAAAACATTTATTCAGTCAGTTCTTAATGAGAACCTGTTTACTCCGTGATTGGAATTATCGAAGAAGTAGAGAGACTGAAAAGAACAGTGTATTTCTAAGGAATAACAAGTAACTCCTAGAAAATCAAGTTTTGTATCTGTGTCAAGTTTTGAATAGCCCCATGTAGTAGGATAAGGAGTTTCTAGTTAGAGACCCTGGACTGCTAAGTGGGTGGCCTAAGTGGCACTTTCAGGAGAGTAAGCTGGAGGTTTCCTCATGCGACAGATTGGGACACATTGGCAGAGTTAAAGGCAAGATACAAGCTGCCCCCAGTCCTGGGGTGAAGTGGAAGCAGTGCAGGTCCCTTGTGGCAGAAAGTGGTCCCCATTTCACTGTCTAGGATGAGTGGCTGCTGTTTGACTTTTTTTTTTCTTCTCCAGTTCTTGGTTTACTTTGTGTTTGTTTCTAAGAAAAAACACTTTCAAAAATATGATGGCCTTAGAGCTAGCCAGCTGACCCACTCACTCTCTCCGGAGTCTCCATGCTGCTTTGATTCTGACTCACTGCTAACTTTGCGTCTGACTTGGTTCTGACCTCCGTGCTGTCACTAAGGGATTATGTTAGAGTCGCTCCTCACACTTACTTGTCCTGCAGCTTGGTGAGAGCAGAACACTCTCAGGCAGCGCTTGCCTGGGAGCCAGAGACGTGGTCTTCATCCCTTCCCGGGTCTGTGAACAGGGTGGGGCAGGGCGCATAGCTCAGGGCTGGTCTCTCGGCTCCTCCCCTGCCCACTGAAGCTGGTTGGGTTCTGAAAGGCTGTGTGTGCAGATGAGTATACCTGCCTCCATGCTTCTGAGCTGTGCTGGGCCTGGCCAGCCCTGACAACCTGACAGTGGGCAGAGTGTGGCCACTGTTTACTCTTCCCTACAGCTGGAAGCTTGACAGCAACACTGGTGTCACTTAAGAACTTGCTGGAAAGATAACGTTAGGTCCTACCTTAGCCTCACCAATTACTCTATTGAACAGGTTCTCAGTTGGCATAGGTCCACAGTTTTGAATTACGCCAACATGACACACTTGTTGGCATGTGGTGTAAGTAGGGAGATGGGAAGCTCTGTACCCTTGGGGTGTGCTGAGCTCCATTGTCACAGAGAGAAACTGTCAGGACAAGAACCAGGGCAACACTGGGTTTTACATGAAGGGTGAACCTCTCTTAGGAGAACAGCTAGTAGGAGGAGACAGTGCTGTTTTAAGAGTTGCACATGATAGAACTTAAAGGAATTAACAACAAAATCAAAAACAAAGGAAAACAAAGGCTAATGACTTTCTTAATCGGATAGAAGAAATTTCACATAACTTGATTTAAAAGGAAGTTTTAGGACAAATGTGGTAGTACATATCTGTAATTGTAGCTAAGGCAGGAGGATCGTGAGTTTAAGGTCAGCCTACGCTACTTAGTGAGCAGCCTGGGCTACATTGAGAGGAGACCAGGCTATCTAGCTAGGGACGGTCAATAAGTACGTTTTTAAAAATTGTGAAGTTTTGTTCCTTTGAGGTTAATTTGCTTTTTCTATGTCCTGTTAAGCAGAGAAGAAAAAGTATAAAGTGATAATTTTAGAATGTCTTCCATAATACTATCTAAGTGACTTTTACATTTTGTCTACAGAGAATCAATCTTTTCAAGACCAAGCATCTATATTGGAAGGTGAATTGGTTGTAAAACATACTTTAGTAAATAATTTAATCATTAAATACAGCTAATGAATGGGCATTAACAATAATGCATGTGATCAGTATCATTTTTATTTGGCTTATTAATTGGATCAAATTTTAGAAGTGATTAAATGTATATAGCGACTCCCAGCTTTAAATCGTGGAAACTGGCTTTCTCAGTGAACATAATGAGAGGGTTGATGTGCAGCTGCAGACGAGGTGGTGGGCGGGATTTCAGTGATTGCTCTGTGTGGTGGTACATTCAAGAGTGTGCTAAGCAGACACAGTAGCTTGGACCAAGTCCTGACTGTTCAGAGCCCCGTTTGGCTGGTCTCATGGTGAATTTGTTGGAAGTTCTGTTTAACAACAAAGCAACTAAGTCCATAGTGTTTAGGGAAAGAACTGACCTTGTTCGATTTCTTTGGTTTGCCAAGCAATTTTGTTGTGATATAATATTCGTATCAGCTTAGCAAGCAAGGGGAGGCGGGGGGGGGGGGGTCCCAAAACTGACTCACTTTGTGTCTTCACATGTTCACGTACACACCTGTGCTGTAACAGCCATCTGCTTCCACGGTGAGGTGGAAAGTAATCACCTTGTAATTTGGAGGCTGTCCAATTTCAGCATGTTATGTAATATGCTGGTACTAAAACAGTGAACTCTACTGATGGCCGTTTCTTACTCTGAGATGCCAGCATAGTGGGTCTTCAGTTTCTGAGGAAGCTTACTGTATTTGACCATAGTTTCATAAGGCAGGGAATGATGAGAGATACTATTGCTCTTCTGTAGTTGGGCTCTGCTGCTGTTTTGGTGTTTGTCCTGTGTTATTGGACACGGAATCCAGGCCTCCCATTCTGGGCAAGCATTCCATCATTGAGTTGTTCTAAAAAATAGAACCATGTTCAGCATCTGTGCTGGCGTGTGTGTTGAGTTGCTCTCTTGGCAATAGAGGGCTGTCTCCTTTATTTTTCTTTGTCCATCGAATATGACAGAGCTCTGCAGAAGCACACTCTGCCAACCTATGTCTCCTTTCTTAGGATATAAGGGAGAACTGACTTTGAAGGCTGGCTGTCAGTTTAGACATAAGGACTTAGGCCCAAAGCTTAGGACAGTCCCTTTACATAGCAGTGCTGTCAAGAATGTGGCCCTGTGTGACCCCAGCTGATTGGTAAAGCCGGTGTTTCAGTTACCTCACAGTTAAGGAGAACTTTTAGGGCTCTGAAGGGAAATGTCTTGTGTTCTAGGTCCTCAGAATGGTTGGAATGATCCTCCAGCTTTGAACAGAGTACAGAAGAAGAAGAAGGTAATGGAGGCAGTTCTCTGCCCAGTGCATGTCTTTGAATATAGCATGTGGAGCACACCACACTTAACCAAGGACTTGAAGGGCAAAGCTTGCCGGTTAATGTTTATAAAATGCTTCATACCAAGCTTTCTTCTGATCCATGGTAAAAGGAGGGAAGGTAGAGTGTCATCAAAGCCTTACTCTGCGCTGTGGGTGACACACAGCTCTAGTCCCCATGCCTGGGAGGATGAGGCAGGCAGGCAAGCAAGGGGACAGCTTAGGAACCTGGGGCTTCCTTGGCTTGGCCTGTGCTGTTATCTAACAACGTGCTCAGCAGCCTGTGACACTTTGTGTGGGGTCCATGTACGCACTTCCTCTCTGAACAGCGCACCTAGCGACCGAGGGCCTGGTCCTCCATTGAGCTGCACATATACTCCACACTGAACAATGCAGGAAGTTTCTCCTTCCCTCATGACCACCAGACTTGGACGATTCTATCCAGTCATATTCTGCTTATGTTCAAGTACAAGAAAGGCTGACGTGGCCTGAACTAGCCTTGGGTGTACATGTAATAAAGCAAAACTGTGTCCACAAGTCAGTTTAGGAAGAATTTCCTGCTTACTGTCTATGTCTACACAGGATTTAGCTTGCGAATACCAGCAAACCGAGGACCACCAAGCAACCTCATTCATGTGTCCTGACAGTGTTTCTACTCTGTTCTCTTCTCCCTCCCCACCAACCTGAGACAAGGTTTCTCTGTGTACTTCTTGCTGTCTTGGAACTCATAGAAGTCTGCCTTCCTCTGCTTTTTTGTTTTAAATAAAGTTGCTTTATTGTACTTCCTTATTTCAGTCCTTAGTATAAGAGGCCAAGGCCCTGGAAACACACAGCCCAGCTCCCAGCCACAGTCTGAGGCCAGTCTTGGCTTAGCTCTTTAGTGAAGGTCTGCGTTAAATGACCTTCCCTACCTATTCCTACCCCAGGAAAGCCTTCTTCTGCTGACAATGGTATAAGTTAAAGCCACTTTAAAATTGTCAGCACCCACTGGCCTCTCAAGTAGTAGGAAGCAGAATTTTGGGATTTGCTGTTGAGTTTTAGAAGTTTCTTTGGTCCTTTGGTATTCTAGGAGTAATTATAATTATATTTTGTAATCAACAGAAATTTATAGTTACATTTTAGATTTTCTTTTACAATATTTTTTAATGATTTATTTTATGTATATTGCTGTTTCGCCTGCATGTATGTCAGTATGAGGTTGTTAGATCCCCTGGGACTAGAGTTATAGACAGTTGTGAACTGTCACGTGGGTGCTGGAAAATGAACCCAGATCCTCTTGGAAGAACAACCAGTGTTCCTAAGCACTGAGCCGTCTCTTGAGCCCCTTGCAATAATTTTTTTTAAAAAATGTTTCTGATTTTTTTCCTTTGTGCATGTGTGTGTGTCTGTGTGTGTGTGTCTGTGTGTGTTTGCCTGTGCCAGCCATACACTCATGAGTGTGCCACAGTATGTATATGTCAGGAGACATTGTAGACCTTGTAGAGTTGTTTTTTTCTTTCATCATTTGAGTTCCAGAGCGTGAACTCAGGTTCTTGAGCTTGCTGGCAATTGCTTACTGAGCCATTTTGCTGTCTCTGTCACAAATAACATTAAATGAAGAAATGCCCTGTACATTATTTATGTGTCAATAATTTTTTATAAACTATTGAATATAAATGGTATTTTTCCTTTCTCAGAAGCTATATATATTGTAAATTCTTGGTGATTTCATTCTCCAAGAATAGAGGCTAGAACAGAACATTGGGAGACATTAAGTTAGTAAGGAAACCCCAACAAAAAGCCAGTAATAATCTGATACTTCATCTGCTGTTTTTAGTGCCAAGTAACAGCTACTTAGTGATCTGTGTGGAATTACATCTTGTTGTCATGTAATGTGTGCACATATACACATGAGCACACATGCATGACACATGCTTCCTGTAGAAGAAATGCATGTTATTAGGAGTCTGAGAGGATGGGGAGATGACCCTGAGTTAGCACAGTAGGTCTACTTCGATGCTTTACTCTGGAATTCTGCATAAAATTTCATTTGAAATGTATTCTGCTAAGAACTGTAACTATGGGGTGCTCTCAGGCCTTTACTTCCATTAGCTAAGGAGATGTTTTCCTTTCCTTTTCTTACTTCTGCTGCTTTAACTTTTTTTTTTTTCATCTTTTAAAAGATGCCTGAGAACTTCATGCCTCCTGTTCCCATTACATCACCAATCATGAACCCTTTGGGAGATCCCCAGTCACAGGTGCTGCAGCAGCAGCCTTCAGCGCCAGGGCAACTGTCAAGCCATGCCTCCTTCCCGCAGCCACACCTCGCAGGTGGCCAGCCCTTCCATGGTGTACAACAGCCTCTTGCTCAAACAGGCATGCCACCGTCTTTCTCAAAGCCCAACACTGAAGGGGCCCCGGGAGCTCCCATTGGAAACACCATCCAGGTATCAGTAGATGTGTAGGCGTGCATGGGGAGGTGGGTTGGTTGGTGTGAACTTACACAGTTCTTCAGTGTTAGCTTCAAAATGGCGGCTCCATTATAAGAGACTGATAGCACATGTATATTATTTTTAATGGCATGGCTATATGTAAACTTTCTAGACAAGAGTTGTCTATTTTGGGAGTGTATATTTACTATGTCTCAGTAACTACAGTGTTTTCTTAATCTAGTTAGTACACAAGTTAAGATTGGCTAAGTCACCACTATATTTGAGGCTTCTAAGCGAAAGCTGTTTTTATAGGTTTTTCTTTTTAAAATGCTAAGTAAAAATGTTACTAGTTATGTCATTTAGTGTGTACACTTAAATACCTACTAAGCTAAGCTGAGTGTGGTGACACACATAATTTTCAGGCAGATCTCTAGGTTCAGGGCCACCCAGGTCTACAGAATGAATTCCAGAACAGCCAGAGCTACACAGAGATACCCTTTCTTAAAAAACCCAGACAAACAACAAAAAACCCCTACTAAGTTAGCCTTACCTCTAGATAGAGAGACACATTTATTTGTATGTGCTTTTCACAGAAAAAGTTAGTTGGCAGAGTCTCAGAAGTTGAAAACTCATAGCACATTTCCAAGTCTCCTTAGAAGGACAGCGTGTTTTGACCAGAACATAAAAGTGTAAAGAGCTGGGGTCAGTGCTCACTGTAAGGAACGAAGCAGCCTGCCTGGGAAATGCTGGCTCTGCTGCCTCTGTCTTAGCCGTGCAGCCTGTGGCTGAGAGCATCCTGCCTCAAGACGCTTTCAGGACTACAAGTTGTATCCTGTTACTCAGCGTTTGGCCAGAACATTATGGCTTCCTGTTCTTAATGGATAACAAAGTTACCACCATCCAGAACTCCTGCGCTCAGAGTCCTCACTCTCCAGTCTCCCTGGCCTCCCTGTGTCCCCTTGTATGGTCTGTGGCCCTTCCTGTCTATGTTATTCCTTTTGTCTAGAATGTTTTTCTCTCCTTACTTAAGTAGTTAGCCAGGTTCATCTTATGTATTTGAGTTGTTTCCATAGGCATCAACTTTTTAAAAAATGTATTCATTTTTATTTATTTATTCTCCTTACATCCTGATTGCTGTCCGCCTCCCAGTCCTCCTTCCCACAGTCCCTCCTCCTTCCCTCTGAGAGAGTGGAATGCCCCCTCACCCAGGCATCCCCCAACCCTGGCACATCAAGTCTCTGCAGGGTTAGGCTCTTCTCCCACTGAGGCCAGACCAGACAGCCAAGCTAGGGGAACAGATCCCACAGACAGGCAACAGCTTTAGGGACAGCCCCCGTTCCAGTTGTTTGGAACCCACATGAAGGCCAGGCTGCACATATGTTACATCTGTGCGGGGTGTGGGGGCTAAGCATCAACCTACTGTAGGTACATGGTCACATGTCTTGCCAGTTTTAAGCTTTGTATCTTTCCCAGTGACCTGTGAACCATTTTAAGACTGAGGTGATTTTTATGTTGGCTCACCAGTTCGTAGCTAGCTCCGGTGCATAATTGCCTGATATTTTTTGAGTGAGTAAAAGAATTGACTGATGAGGAAAAGTGCAGAAGAGGAGAGTCCCTGTGTGCCTGTCCTTTTGCTGTCACTGAGCAGTGCCATGGTCCCCTCAGTCTTCCCCTTGGAGTCATCTCACAGGTTTTACGTAATCAACACCTGTAACGGCCCGATCCCCGTTCTGCTGCTCCCTGTTCTGCTGCTCCAGTCTGCGGGTCAGGGCCTAGCAAGAGAGAGAGAGTGGGAACGGAGGGTCGAGAGATGCGAGAATGGAGACAAGACAGAGTCTGATCAAGTCTCGTTTATTGAAAGGAATCCTGGGTATTTATACCCTTGTCCTTGTGGACAAGCAGGGGAACACAGCTGAAGGCACTGTGTCACGTGCCTTGCAGCTACGGATACCACATGTGCCTAGCTAGCAATGAGGAGACCACACGCCCTTGCCCTTGTGGCTGGCGGCACTAAACAGCAAAACAAGATGTGTGAGAAAAACAAAATGTTTATCAGAGTGTGCTCAGCTGTTGTCTCTTGTCAGGGTATATGGCCTGAGATGGCTGCAAAGATGATAGTCGCTTTCAGCTAGTAGTCGGCTCCCAACAAACACCCTTTAAGAAAAGTAAAAGAGTAGTCAGGTGTGGCCCACAACTGTAGTTCCTTGGAGATTAAGGTAGGAGAATCCCCATGATTTCAAGCTAGCCTGAGTGTTACAGCAAAACCGTCTCAGAAAAACAAAATGAAGCATAGCAGAATACCAGGATAAACACAAGTGAGGGATGGTGTGTGTGTGTGTGTGTGTGTGTGTGTGTGTGTGTGTGTCTAATGGAGGAATTGATCCCTGGACCTCACGGTTATTGAACAAACATTCTGCCACTTAGCTAGGACCCCAGCCCTTAGTGTATGCAAACCGAAGCTGTCCAAGGAGCGCTAGCGCCTCCTACTGGCCTCTTACCCATTTCTTCATAAACCCCTGAGTTCACATGTTAAATAAACCTTCATTTTATTTTTAACAGATCTGCCTCTAAGGCGGTTGGTTCTCATCACATTAGAACTTTGTATATTAAAGCATTTTCTGGCAATTTCTCATTGTTTTTATAACATTAATTCTTTCAGCACGTGCAGGCTCTGCCAACAGAAAAAATTACCAAGAAACCTATTCCAGACGAGCACCTCATTCTAAAGACTACGTTTGAGGATCTCATCCAGCGCTGCCTCTCCTCAGCTACAGACCCCGTATGTGTTCTTCTTCTCATAGTTTACTTCAGTACAAATAGAACCTGAGGCTAGGGAGTTGGGTCAACACTGTTACTGCTGCAGAGAACCTGGGTTTCATTCCCAGCACCCACATGGCAGCTCATAGCATCTGTAACTCCACCCCCAGGATATCTGATGCCCTCTTCTGACCTCTGAAGGCACTGCATACATGTGGTGCATAAACATGCAGGCAAAACACGTGTATACTTAAAACTGTACATTTTTTAAAAAGCCTTCTTTTTAAAATCCTTTGTGGTACTTGTCTGGTACAGAAAGAGCTGTGGTTGTGGTTGCCTCCACTGCATTGATAAACAGAGAGCTTCAGCCTTTTGAGTGTAGGAGGCAAGTGTAACTCCTGTTTTTCCTCTCCTGTAGCAAACCAAGAGGAAGCTGGATGATGCCAGCAAGCGCCTGGAGTTCCTATACGACAAGCTTAGGGAACAGACAGTAAGTTCCGGGGGGAAGAGGTGAATTATGACAGTCTATTATTCTTTGTTGCTAACATAGTGACTTAGCAACACTGTCACTCTGTGGGGCATGGCAAGATTGTCATGAAAGATACAGAATGGTCTTCCCAAACCCCATTTGTGTGAGGTGGGGAAGGGAGAACATAAGAGGTGACATTAGCCCTTTTTGTAACAAAGATCAGAAATGCAAACTGAACTGTGTTGGGCCCAGGGTAACTGGCCTGATGCTCATTTTACATGGCCCATGTATCAGAAACCAGAGACAAGGCAAGGCAAAACAAAAGTTCCCTATTTTCTAGAGAAGAATTTATCATTCTCTGGAGTCTAAGACTCTTGATCCTTTTCTCTCACAATAGCTGATATAGAAAGGCAAAACCAGATGTTGCTGCCAGTTGGTCAGGGTAATGCTCTGTGATTGTGAAGACAAGTCACAGCCAGGAGTCACTGTGGTCCTCTTGAGCTGACCTGCTGTCCTTTGAGAGTTTAAGAATAAGTGCTATGTTTGGAGTGGACAGAGCTGCGTTTTGTAAGTGATCCTGTTCACCATGCTCACTCTCACCTGATGATAACATTTTTCTCATGAGACCCAACACAAAAAAAGCTGATCTCGTAGGAAGGGCGCGCTCTGTGACTGATCCAAAAGAGGGTGTTCTACTAAAGTATGAATTGTTCTGAGTGTTGCCATGCCAGAGAGCTAGACTGATCTTAAGTGACCGGTGAGCCAGTGTGTTAGGTGCAGGAGAGTCAGAAGTATGTCCTCAGCTGCATGGTTCAAGGCTGGCCCAGCATTCCGGAGACTCTGCGTCATAAGGAGACAGTGAGCAAGTGAGGGAGAGGTCACGGCCACGGGTAGCAGCGTGGGCTGGAGATCCCAGCTCCTGATGAGAATGTGAATCCAGCCTGGGCAACACAGCAAGAGCTAGCTGCAAAGAAAAAAAGCAAAACAAGTTTTTAAAATGCCAGAAGAAAAGGTAGACTTATAAGAAGTGATTGAGGGTGCAGAATGGGCTCAGGTTAGCCCTTGTCTAGCACATTGAAAACCCTGCATTCCATCCCCATCATCTCAAAAGAACAGGAAGAAAAGCTAGTTAAGAGCTGATAAATTGTGTGTATGCCCATGTCTGTTGCCTTGAACTCAGGGAGAGGACAGAAGATTCAGATCTGCTGTAGAAAGCTTCAAGTAGCTGGGGCCCGCAGCTCAGTGGTGTCATGATATACAGCCTTCCTGGACTCACAGAAAATGTTAAAGGCTCTGGCTAACACCGGAGAAGGAAAACTGTTCATGGAAAGAGGTGTGAGCAGTTCAGCTTGCAGGAGGAAGTCAGTAAGGAAAGCCCTGCTCTGCAGCCCTGGAGTTCATAAAGGACTTGTCTCACGGGCGTCTCTCTCGCCAGCCTTCTACATTAAAGGATAACTTTCACTTGGTCAAAAATCCTTGTTTGGTTTAAAACATTCCAAAATGCTGACTAGTTATGCATTCATAAAGAGTGGCTCGGGCTCAGTATAAACCTCTGGGTTCATGCTCGCAGAGCATTGTGGGACACCCTAAGGTGACTCCCTCACCTTCTCCCACTTTTCTTTTAGCTTTCCCCAACAATCATCAACGGTCTCCACAGCATTGCGAGGAGCATTGAGACGAGGAACTACTCTGAAGGGTTGAGCGTCCACACTCACATCGTCAGCACTAGCAACTTCAGTGAGACCTCGGCCTTCATGCCAGTTCTCAAGGTGGTCCTCAGTCAGGCCAGCAAGCTGGGCGTCTGAGGTCAGCTGCACTGTCCCTGACATTGCCACTTCTCCAAAGAAAGCCATGCTAAGACTGGGACCAACCTCTCATTAGCATGCGTCCACGCTGCCCGGCACCCAAGAGCTTTGACATTATTTCTGCAGGCATACTCCCCTAGAACTGTTTGACCCCCCCTGGTGCTTTCCTTTGTTTTAATCTCCTGTCGCCTATTATGATTTTTCCTATTCTGCAAATAGTGTCTTTCCTGGATTACACATAATGTGGTTTCCTGAGGGATTCTGACAAAATGTGCTTTTTAAAACTTTGGTGTACTTTAAAGGAAAATTGCATCTGGCTATGTATAAAACAGACCTAAAATAAATTTCTTTGATGTCTTCCCTACTTTTTTCACATCAATCAGATTAAAATGTGTAATCCTATCTTACACGGTTAGTCTTCATTTGTTTTACCTTTTTACTGCCTTTTCTTTATTTTCATGTGAGTGGGTGTGGAAGCCAAAGGACAGCCTGTAGGACCAGTGCTCTCCTCCATGTTGGCCCAGCATGGACCTTGGGGTGCCAGGTTTGGCAGCAATCGCTTTTGCCCACTGAGCCATCTCACCAGCCCTGCAGTCTTTAAAACAGGCTGCTGGCTGGGCCTGCAGTCTGTGGGGAGCACTTGTTGGCATATGTAAGGCCCTGGCTTCCATTCCTACTGCTGTAGAGCAGTGGTTCTCAGCCTTCCCAATGCTGCTACCCTTCAATACAGTTCTGCATGTTGAGATGACCCAACCATAAAATTATTTTTGTTACTACTTCATAACTGTAATTTTGCTACTGTTATAGATCGTAATGTAAGTATCTGATGTGTAGGATATATGATATGCAAGCCCTGTGAAAGGGTACTTCAACCCCCAAAGTGCTAGTGACCCTTGTAAAAGGTCAGTGGAAGTTGTTCCATAGGTATTAGCAGATACGAATGCAGAGCGGATCGTTAGCTGTGATACATGCAGGAAGGCATGTATCCATCTGCATACTTTGGCACATTACTGCTTTCTCTGTTTACAAGTATTTTCAGTGTTCTGCTTAGATTCAAGATTGAATTGTCTTATTTCATAGTTAGAGATTTGCTCCCCTGTTTTCTAGTAAGTTACCTGTAGTCTGGAGGTTAAGTTCAGAAAGCAAACATCATTACATCCAGGCTCTTATACAAAAGCCTTACAAGTTCTCTGTCGGTGGCTTACTTACTACTATCTGCCTTTAGGTAGAACAGTATGACTTGCAGTTCCCTTTATTACTGGGTGGGTAGATGGGCTGTTTCAGGGAGGCGGAGCGTTGGTCCAGGAGGCTCTCAGCCTTGTTGATGCAGGTCGCAAGAACCTGTTTTCTTCATTGAGACCCCCTCTTCCTAGATACATGCGGTTTAAAAAATTAAACTCAGCTTTGTAGCTGAGAATAGTTTTATAACAAGAAGAGGGAAAAGCACTATGGCAGCTAGCATCCAAGTGTCGACATCATGTCTAGATGTGGAAACAGCAAAACGGCAGCATTTGCTGAGCCTCCTGTGACTTTGGCTCTGACTTTGCCTAGGGCTCTGGAGCCTTCCATAGCTTTGTGTATAATCTACAAGCCTTCTGAGGGGATGGAAAATGAACTTGGATGAGCAGCAAGCTTTGGAGAAAGATGACTGAAACAGCTCGGGGAGCTTTTCCCCTTGTAGTGTTTGTTTGATTCCCAGTCTGGAGTAAAAGAAATGCATGGTGCACCTTGACTGGGAATCATGGGCAACCCAAAGGAACAGGCTTGTGATCTGAGGAGTTTATATTTTCCCAGCCTTTCTGTGCATCATTCCTCACTAGAAGTGGGCTACCTTCAGTGCCAGCTGCCAGCCCATTTATTTCTGAGAGCTGGGTTGTGGCAGCAGGTGGGATAACAAGAAGGAGGAGTTTAGTTGGGTTTGTAAACCCTTTTTAGCCATGTGCTGACCAACGGTAACACATAGGTCTTAACTGTTAACTTGCCTGCACCAGGCCTCCTAAGGGCTGCTTCTCTGTAGCATTTAGAGTCTGTGGGATACACTTCCCATGCTGATTGATGGCCTGTCCTACTGTGCTGTGAGTTGCCAGAGCCTCAAGCCACACATGCTGCTTGTAGACCAAGTGAAGTGCCCAACAACCCAAGCAAGCAAGCCAAGTCATCCGTGACCCAGCCAAGCAAGTCGATGAGATCCCCTTGGGACGCAGCCAGAGCTTCTCCCCCTCCCCCCTTCAGCTGTGGGTCAATCCAGCCCTTACACCCCCAGTTTGCTCTTGGCCCTTTTGTGGCCCCCCAGCAGCACCTGGAAGCCCAAGGGCCTGAAAATCAACCGGTTCCTGGCAGCCTTTTGGCACGGGGACCTCCAAGCCAAGAGCTCTGGCTCCCTGCAGGACATCAGACTGTGCCCCACCCCACCCACCCCCAGGCGCCAGCGGGAGAACACAGTCAACTCTGTCCTCCACTAGTGGCCCTAGCCCTGTGGGGGTTGCAGATGTGGAACCTCCGCATCAACCCACGATACAACCCAACAACCCTTGACAACTCGTTTTATAATGCAGTCTAATATTATCACATGTGGCTACTAAGCACTTGGCTTGTGGTTAATTCGAATTAAGATGTGCTCTTATGTAAATATAAATATTGAAGTCTGAAGACATAGCACAAAAATGGATCTGTGATACTTTATCAATTACTCATTCAAAAGATTCTGTTCCTAAGTTTTAATGTAACTACTAGAAATTTTAAGAGTTGGTTTGAATTTGTGGCTCATGTTACACTGTTAGTAGTCTTTCAGAATCCTTACAGAGTAAACTTGATGCACTTGTTCCTTTCCCAGAGGTCTCAGGTTAGGTTCCCAGTACTCACAAGGTGGCTCCAGACCATCTAACTCCAGATTCAGAGAACCCAATGCTCTCTTCCAGCATCTGAGGGTATCAGGAATGTACTCCATGCACGTAAATACATGTAGGCTATTCTACTTGGTTTTCTATTGCTGTAATAAAATACTATGACCAGAAGCAACTTGTGGGGGAAAGGGTATTTTTGACTTATACATCACAGTCATTGAGGGAAATCAGGGCAGGAAACTAGGGACAGGAGCTGAAGCAGAGGCCATGAAGGCTGCTCGTACTGGCTTACTCCCAGGCTCACATTTGACTATGGTTTTAATACCTTGCAAGACTACTTACTCACTCAGGGGTAGGGTTGCCCACAGCAGGCTAGGCACGTCTACATTAATCGTTAATTAAGAAAATGCTCCACAAACTTGCCTACAGGCGATCTGATGGAGGCATTTTCTCAACTGAGGCTCCCTCTTCCCAGATGACAGGTGCCTTGGTCAAGTTGTCAAATAAACAAACAAACAAACAACTGCTCACAGGCAAATGGTCATTTATATAAAAAAAACTTAAAAGAAATTAACATTGGGCAAAGAAGTTGGATGAACATTTCTCTAAAAATGGTGTGCAAACATCCAGAAAGCACCCACTTATTAAGGAAATGCAATAAACATCATACTGGGAATCACTGCATATCTATTAATCAAGCTGGTTTTTATCCGAAGAAACAGAAAATGCATGTTGGTGGGGATATGTAACCTGGAAACCCTGCCAGTCTGGATGGGAAACATTGCAGGTTTGGATGCAAGATGATACAGCTGCAGGGGGAGCAGTGTGGTTGGGGCCTTATCAATTCAGCCATAAAGTCCAGTAATACCTTGGGTGTATATTCAAAAGAAGTATCTTAAAGAGATACTTGTACACCCATGCTCATTGCAACTTGCTCCCATTGGCTGAAAGGTAGCAGCAACTGGAGTGTTTACTAACAGGTGGGTAGATTGTAGGGAAGGTTAACTATTACATTGTTTATTAACAGATGATTAGATTTTATGAAGGTTAACTGTTACATTATGATCAGATGATTAGATTTTGTGAAGGTTAACTGTTAATATTGTTTATGATCAGATGATTAGATTTTATGAAGGTTAACTGTTACATTGTTTATGAACAGATGAGTAGTGTCTGTCTAAACTCCACCTCCACAGTTACCTGGCAACAGCCAGGTAGGCCTGCCCACTATAAAAGGGGCTGCTTGCCTCCTCCTCCTCCTCCTCCTCCTCTCTCTCTTGCTTTCTTGCCTCTAGCTTCTCTCTGTCCCTTCACCCATCTTCCCTTCCCTTCCCTTCCCCCTCTCTCCACGTGGCCATGCCCTCCTCTTCTCTCCTCTCTCCTTTTCCTCTGCCATCTTTTCCCGTTTCCCCACCTTTGCCCTCTGCCCTGAATAAACCCCCTCCCCTTTGGAACCGTTTGGTCTGGTGTTGTCTGTTCTACGCGCCAAAATCTAACAAGTAGATTTTGGGAAGGTTAACTGTTACATTGACACTATGTAGAATCATTGGGAAGATGGGCTCCTGGCACATTTCTGTTGGATTGTCTTGTTTACATCAATAGTAATGAGAAAACCTGCCCATTTTCTGGGTGGCACCACTCTCTAGAGGAATTTTAATCCAGCAACATGATAGCTCTGGCAAAGGATCATGTTCAAAGATATGATCCAGTTGGAATGCTGACATGCCACAAAATTCTAGGCCTAGATTAGCAGATCAAAGCTGGAAGTTGAAGTCTTCAAGGTCTGGGCTTACAGAAGACTAAATTGTACAGAGGCTAAAAGTGGATGTGCATATCTGTGTACATGTGTGTGCATGTGTACATGTGTGCATTTCATGTGTGCATGTGGGGAGCATGTGCATTATTAGATGCCAATCATATATGCAGGTGGTCCACAGGAAGCAATATAAGCTGTTAGAGTTCACCCATCTTATCACTCCTTATACCCTGCTGTGTAGTTCCTTAGACCAGGTCTCAAGAGAGATGGCAATTCATGCACATGCACTTTCATGGTACTCGAGGATGTAGCCTAGTGACAGAGCACTTTCACAGCATGCCAAAAGGCCTTGGGTTCACCCCTGGGTCAGAGGTTTATAATGTGTTTGAACTTCTTGACTTTCTAAAGTCATACAAGTGACCAGTCTTAGCTTCAACATGGGCAACAGGAGACCATACCTTGTGCCCACAGGATCTGGCATAAGAACAGTTGTTCAGTACATGCCAAACAAATATCTGAAAGGTGGGAGTGAGGGCAGGCAAGTCCTCAGATGCAAGAATTAGAAAGGTGGGAGGAAGAATAGTTCTGCCTCCCCAATAAGGAGATTTATGCTGAGATGGATTAAAAAACAAGCAACAACCAAACCAAATCAAAAGCTATCAGGTTGAAAATGGAACCCAGAGCTCCCTTTTTCATCTGTCCCCCTGTAGTGTCACTTTCTGGGACACATGCTCATCTGTCCCCCTGTAGTGGCAATTTCTGGGGCATGCACTCTCCCTCTGTGCTTCCTTGTGCTCTGTCCCCACCC